TAGGTAGAGGGCCTGCATCTTGTGGGGACCTTCTTGCTGTTGGGGACTCTCTGCAGAGTCCCAAGGCAGAGCAGGGCATCACATGGCAAGGGGGCTAAGCATGCTCTATGCCACCTCAGGCCTCTCTTCCTCTTCTTATGAAGTCACCAGGTCCCCTCCCTTGATAATGTATTAATCCTTTAGCCCATTCATTCATTAATTCATGAATGGATTAATCCCTCCATGAGGGCAGAGCTCCCATGATTCAATCGCCTCTTAAAGGCCCCATCTATCAGTGTTGCCACATTGGGGATTAAGTTTCAATAGGAGTTTTGAGTGGACATTCAAACTAGCACTCTGCAAAGCCCTGACCCACACCACATGTAGCCCACAAGCTCGAAGGCCTCAGCCCCTGTGATCACCCATGCCCAGACTCCCCTCCTCACCCACGCCACTGCATGCTGACCACCTACTCCCTGCCTGCACTTGGAAGGGAGGTCTATTGCTTTTCCCAGCAATTCCGGGCCAGCTCTGGTCTGGATGCACCAGTGAACTTCTATGCTATCTGGTGGCCTAACCACACCTTCTCCAAGTCGGTCTAAACCCCTTCCAACTTTGTTCTTCCTTGGTACTTTCCCTTGCCTAGAGTACTATAGACAGTTTCCTTATACCTTATAGCACTCTCCTATCACAGTCAACAATTCTTTATATTGAACTTCTCTTATATAACCTTCTGTGTGGTTTCTATGATTGGACCCAGGCTATTCATCCCATCAGTAAAGAAGAGATGATAACATCTTTTTCTCAGATTTATTTTACGGATCAGATGAGAAAACCCTCATAAAGCTCATAGCTCAAGGCTCTGCCTGTCAGAGCTCCCCAACTTCCTCTTTTCCTGAGCTACTGCTGTTTTTTCATAGAGAAGAAGGAAAATTAATATCAGTGAGTGAGTGCCTTCTGGGCACCAGGCAATATGCCAGGCACTTGACAAGATGGTGCTGACATGCATGTGGTTAGTCTTAGAGGAGGAAACAGAGGGTCAGAGAAGCTAAAGAGGTTACCTGTGGTCGTGCATGGTATATCCAATTAAGCTGGGCTAGAACCCCTGGTTGCTAGTCCTCCAAGTCCACGCACCACACACAACGGTGGGCTTGCTCCTAGAGCCCCAAACACTCCTTTTTTCACTTGAATGAGTACAATTTCCCTACATAAGGAAATTGTTTCAGCACTCACTCTATGCTGAGAGTAGGTGCACAGCAGGAGAATCATTTGCTAGAGTTCTTTTGTAATGACTTAACTAAGAAATCTCCTCCTAAAAGAAAGATCTGACTCACTGGGAAGGTGTGAGTCTGTGGTTTCCCTTTCTCTGTGAGCTGGCCTCAGGATGAGAACTGAGGAGCCTGCTCTTGAAACCGATGCCGTAAGCAAGTACAAATATGGACTGGGCTATTAAAGGCTTCACATAAAAAAAAAAAAAAAACCCCATTGGTTAAAATCAAATGTATGGAATTGCACATCAGCAGTGGGCCAGTTGTACAGTTCGTTGCTTCAACATAACTTCCATAGGCCAGCAATCTTTATTATGTTCATTGATGTTTCCCAGCTGCCTAGAACAGTGCCTGGTATAAAGTAGATGGTCACTAAATGTGTATCAAATGTATGAATTTACATGGTCAAGGATTCAATCAATTTTTTTACATGTGGAGCTTCACTAGGGTATTTTGAAGTAGAATTTTAATTTAAAAGCAAGAGGGGAGATACGGTTTGGATCTGTGTCTCCACCAAATCTCACACTGAGATGTAATCCCCAATGTTGGAGGTGGGGCCTGGTGGGAGGTGATTGGATGATGCGGGTGGTTCCTCATGAATGGTTTAGCACCATCTCCTGATACTGTTCTTGTGACAATGAGTGAGTTCTTGGTCTGGTTGTTTAAAGTGTGCAGCACCCCCCCCCCCCAACCCCACTTGCTCTCCCTTGGTCCTGCTTCTGTAGGGTAAGATGCCTCTTCTGGCTCTACTGTCTGCCATGAGTAAAAGTTCCCTGAGGCTTCTCCAGAAGCAGTTGCCACCATGCTTCCTGTACAGCCTGTGAAACTGGGAGCCAAATAAACCTCTTTTCTTTATAAATTACCCAGTCTCAGGTATTTATAGCAATGCAAGAACTGAGTAATACAAGAGGAAAGGTGGAAATAAATCTTAATGGAATATGATTATTTTGTAAATCAAGGCATGATACTATAATGATCTATTCCAGTGACCAAACTCATCCTAATCAAAACTTACTTGTCCTGTGTTTAATTCTCTTCAGATGTCAATCTCTTCTAGGTACTCGCTTATTACTTTGCTGATGTAATAGTAATCAATCATGGAAGAATAAAGGTACCATTCCAGTAAATGTCATAGTAACTTTTTAACTGAAGCCCTTAGTTAAAAATTGCCCAGTGCCTGACAGAGAATTCTGTACATGACAGCTACTCCGTAAATGTCTGTTGACACTGATAATACTGTGAAAATACCAGGACCTTAAAATAAGGGACTGACATAGGTAGTAGAAATTCAGGCAGGACAGAAAGGCCGGACAGAGGGGTGGTGGTGTTTTTGATTGGGCGGTCTCTCTACACATTTCACATAATGACCAGAACGTTCCCTATGTTTTCTGTGCTTAATGACTGAGTCTATTTGTGCTATAGCATATTCTTAAAAGGTTGAACCAAAATACCAAATGAGAAAAGTACTCTATACATGTGTTGTAGATATTGAGGTATAGAGAGGAAACCATATGCACATCAAATTCTTTTTTAAAAAAAAATCTTGTCCCTTATTTCCCAGAAACTATATTTCTTCTTTTTAATAAAGAAGAAAAAGGGATATAGAAAGGGAGTAAATATATTTTTCTTTCCAGGAACACCAGGAGAACCAGTAGTGCTTATGGTTCAAAGTCTCCTTTAAAACAGGGTTGTTGCAAAGTCAGGAGCAGATGAATGTTCAAACCCTTTCAAGTGTAGGGCTTTAATGGGTGAAGTTGGCTACAGCTGTCTCAACTGGTACATGGTTCATTCATTTATTCGTTCTCTCAACAAACACTTTGTAAGCACCTACTGCACGCTAATCGCTATAACAGGCCTTCACTAGAACATAGAATGGGAGCTTCCTGTAGAGGAGCATTTGCCTGTCTTGTATCCCCATTATCTAAAACACTCCCTAGTACCCTGGAGGCATTCACCAAATATTTGTTGAAAGGTTAAGTAGTCCTAGCACTCGTGGAGTTTATACTAAATTTCTTTCTTTTTTAGTTAGCATTTTTATGCCCATCAAATATGAGTTAAATTTTCTCTTTTAAACCTCAGAGTAGCTTTAAAAGAGAAAATGAGAGATGAATGACTGACAGGCTGTAAGCAGCCTGGGGGGAGTGTGGAAAGAGGCGTGGTTATGCTGTTGTCCTCTTTCCCACGGGCAGTACTACAGGGATTGACCACAAGGTAGTAAGACTGATTCTCACGTATGATTTGTGAGAATCAGTCGCATGACATTGGAGCTATGAAATGCACATGGACATTTCAGCTCTGTTTTGTCATACGCTGGGAGACAGACTTCATCCCCACCCTTGAACCCCATCCCGCCAAGGCCAGTCATCTGTTCCCTGCACATCTGAATGGGGCTGTCCAAGGCAGGAGTCCTGGGAGCAAAGACTGAGTTGCTTCAGAAATTAGAAGCAATTTCCTTCTCCTTGGCTGGACGTAAGTTTTCTTTGTTTTGAAATAATCAATGAGTTAAAAGATTCCCTGCTTCCTTGAACAATATCCAATATCATAGAACATTCATATAGTACCATGAAAGGCTCAATCCTCAGAATGTGAGAGGTTTCTTTTTCTCTGCCTTCCTCTCTTCCTCCCTCCCTCCCCCTCTCCCCTTTTTTCAAAAACCTAAGCAGTCCTGAATCTTCTTTTTCTTATAGAGGTGGTCTGTCTGCCATTGGGCATCTATTTTAAAGTCTGGGATACATTCTGGGATGTTTATAAGCAACTCTAGGAAAGAAATGACTGGCAGTGCTGGTGGCCAATCATAAGTCCATTTATTCATTAGAGGTGGGTTCAAAGGCAGCCTTCTTTCTGTTTTTTAGTAACCTTATTATCTTAGTGCATTTCGTGTTGCTATAACAGAATTCTTGAGATTGGGTAGTTTATCAAGAAATGAGGCCTATTTGGCTCATGATTCTGGTGGCTGGAAAGTTCAACATTAGGCATCTGCATCTGGTGAGGGCCTCAGTCTGCTTCCAACTCACGAAAGGAGGCAGAGGAGAGCTGGCATTTTCAGAGATTGCATGGACAGACAGGAAACAGGGTGGGGGTGGGGATGGTGCCAGACTCTTTTTAACAACCATGAAGCAATAGACTGAGAACTCGCTCATCCTCCCGCACCCCTGAGGGATGGCATAAATCTATTCATGAGAGATCCACCCCCATAACCCAAATACCTCTCATTAGGCCCCACCTTCAACCCTAAGGATCAAATTTCAACAGGAGGTTTGGAGGGGGCAAATATCCAAACCATAGCAATTATTAACCAGCAAGCTGTCATATTTTGGGGACAAAGATTGCTTATTGCTGTTTTGTAAGTACTGTTTATTTCATTTATTATGATCATGTGAGATTCATCTTTCTGGAAAGATGCACACAGCTCTTGTTGTGACTTACTTGATCAAAACAGTTAACATTCAATTTATTTCCATCTCTTTCCTAAGAGAGAAAAAAAATCATTAAATAAATGACGGTTGTCAGGAGGCTTTTTGCTTATAATGATGAATTTGACAAAGGGCCCCCTGGAACATAAGAGTTGTTAAATTTGCAGTTTTCTAGGATATCTCTAATAGCTAGGGGGAGTTGGGGGATTAATGTTTAGATTTCAATCATTCTTGTCCATTATTACAGTCATTGAGGATTAACACTCTTGGGATTGCAGTTATGCCCTATTGTGGGCTCTCCCATGAACAATGCTATTAACACCACTTTTCATCTTCCTAGGTACAAATTCAGGAAACAGTCAGAGAGAGAATCTCTTGCAGCCAGATGCCAGCTTTCTCAGAGCCTGCTGGGGAGGAGCCCCCATTCACTGGGACCACAACAATTTCCTTCTCAAACTTAGGAGGGGTCCACAAGGAAAATGCATCATTAGCTCAACACTTGGAGGTCAAACCCTGTACCTGTGACCCACAGCAGGAAGAAAAACAAGACAGAGATGGCAACACACCTGACAATTTCAGGGAAGACCTAAAACATGAACTGAGCACCTCAGAAGCCAATGATGAGAATACGTTCCCAGGTGTGTTCTCAAGGCATCTCCCCAAGGATGCCCGTGCTGACTTCAGGGAGCCTGTGGCTGTCTCTGTTGCTTCCCCTGAAACCACAGATACTGTCCTCACCCTGGAAAATGTGTGTGATGGGCCAAGGGACAGAGAAGCAGTGTGTGCAGTGGAGTGTTTTGAGGCTGGTGACCAAGGAACATGTTTTGATACCATAGATTCTCTTGTTGGGGTGCCAGCTGATAAATATTTGCCTCAAGAAATTTGCTCTGTAGACTTGGAACTGGCAGAAGGTCAAAGAAAAGTATCTGATTTATGTTCTCCTAATGGCAAGACACTAGAAGTCCTTTTTCAGACACAAGTGTCTGAGACTTCAGTGTCTACGTACAAAAGCAGCAAGGACGGCGACTCAGTCATGTCCCCTCTTTTTATCAGTACTTTCACCTTGAACATTTCACACACAGCTAGTGAAGGTGCCACAGAAGAAAATCTAGCCAAGGTAGAGAATTCCACCTGCCCACTGGCCTCCACAGTACATGTTGGCCAGGAGCGGTCAAGCCCCAACAACTCAGGAAGGCTTGAGGAAACACAGCTCCTTTCTTCTGAGAACAATCCTTTAGTGCAATTTGAAGAAGGAGGTGACAAGAGCCCCAGTCCTAGTGCTGCAGACACCACAGACACCCTAGCCCATTATAGTTCAGTCGTGAGTTTTCCTTGGGAGAAGACATCAACATTAACTGCTAATAATGGGTTTCAAGTGACCAGGGAGACTGAGGACACATCGACTGTTACCACTGCCACGAAAATCCACTCAGCCAAGTACCTTGCTGTGTCAATTCCTGAGGACAAGCATGCAGGTGGCACTGAGGAGAGGTTCCCGCGTGCATCCCATGAAAAGGTTTCCCAATTTCCTTCCCAAGTGCAGTTGGGTCATATTTTAAGTGGTGCTACCACCAAGTCTACAAAAGAGCTACTCTGCACAGCACCCAGTGTGCCAGGAGTCCCACACCATGTCCTGCAGCTTCCGGAGGGAGAGGATTTCTTCAGTAATTCCCCTCTTCAGGTTGATAACCTGTCTGGAGATAAGAGCCAGACTGTGGAAAGAGCAGACTTTAGGAGCCATGAAGAGAATTTCCAAGAAAGAGGAAGTGAAACGAAGCAGGGGCTCCAGCAGCAGAGTCTGTCCCACCAGGGTTCTCTTTCTGCACCTGATTTCCAAGAAAGTTTGCCTACGACATCTGCTGCACAAGAGGAAATAAACTTGGTGCCCTCGGCCCACTCACCAGCAAGCTCTAGGGAAGGAGCAGGGCAGCGCTCAGTTTGGGGGATGAGGGTCTCCATGGTGGCTGAAACTGCTGGGGAAGAAGATAGTCAGGCTCTGAGCAACGTTCCGTCTCTCTCTGATACCATTTTGGAAGAGTCTAAAGAATATAGACCTGGAAATTGGGAGGCAGGCAACAAGCTGAAGATTATAACTCTAGAGGCTTCCGCTTCTGAAATCCGGCCACCAAGACAACGGACAAATTCTGAGAGCAAGGCATCAGATGGTGGTCCCGTAATTCCTGACAAGGTCTGGGCTGTACCTGATAGTCTAAAGGCAGATACTGTTGTGCCTGAATTGGCCCCCTCTGAAATAGCAGCATTGGCTCACAGTCCAGAGGATGCTGACTCAGCCCTTGCTGATAGCAGAGAAAGCCATAAAGGCGAAAAGCCTGCCATCAGTGCACACTGGAGAAGTCTTTCTTCCTGGGGTTTCAGCCAACCCAGACTCCTGGAGTCATCCGTGGACCCTGTAGATGGAAAGGAGTTATGTGTCACAGATTCACTGTCAGTGGCTTCTGAAACTGGAGGGAAGGAAAATGTTAACAATGTGAGTCAAGACCAGGAGGAAAAGCAACTCAAGATGGATCACACTGCCTTCTTTAAAAAGTTTCTGACCTGCTCTAAAATCCTAGAGTCCTCTGTAGATCCCATTGATGAGACAAGTGTGATAGAGTACACCAGGGCTGGAAAACCAGAGCCCTCTGAATCCACACCAGAGGGCGCCAGAGAAGGGAGTCAATCAAATGACAGAAATGTGGGCCACGGAGCGAAAATCCAGCCTGCCATTTTGCAAGTTCCATGTCTCCAGGGAACCATTCTGACTGAAAATAGAATCAGCAGAAGCCAAGAAGGCAGTATGAAACGGGAGGCTGAACAAAGTCAACCTGATGAGGCAAAAACTACCATTTGGCAAGTCCTGCAACCCTGTGAAGGGGGTGAAAGAATTCCAAATGGATGTAGCATAGGCCAAATACAAGAAAGCAGTGATGGGAGCTTAGGGGAGACTGAGCAAAGTAAAAAGGACAAAGCAGAATTGATTTCCCCCACTTCACCTCTTTCTAGCTGTCTTCCAATAATGACTCATGCTTCTCTTGGGGTTGATGCTCACGACTCCACAGGCCAAATTCATGACGTCCCTGAAAATGACTTAGTTGAGCCCAGAAACCGTCAGTATGTGTTTCCTGTTTCACAGAAAAGGGGAACTATTGAGAATGAGCGTGGGAAACCTTTGCCCTCTTCTCCTCATCTTACCAGGTTGCCTTGTACTTCATCTCCTGAAGGAAATGTCACAAACTTTTTGATAAGCCACAAAATGGAGGAACCTAAAATAGAGGTGCTTCAAACTGGGGAAACCAAACCCCCAAGCTCATCTAGCTCCTCAGCAAAGACCTTGGCATTCATTTCAGGAGAAGATGAGTTAGAGAAAGCCCCTAAGTTACTGCAGGATCCACATCCAAAGGGCACCCTACGCTGTGTGAAAAAGTCCAGGGAGAGGGAGAAGTCACTGGAAGCCCAAGCTGGCAAATCGCCAGGGGCCCTCACAGCAGTGACAGGGTCAGAGGAGGTCAAAAGGAAGCCAGAAGCCCCAGGCAGTGGACATTTAGCTGAGGGAGTAAAGAAGAAAATTTTGTCCAAAGTGGCAGCCCTGAGGCTGAAACTGGAAGAAAAGGAAAATGCCAGAAAGAACTCAGCCTTTCTCAAAAAGATGCCCAAACTTGAAACATCGTTATCACGCACAGAAGAGAAACAAGACCCAAAAAAGCCATCTTGCAAAGGAGAAGGAAGAGGTGAGGCTCTGTTGCTGTCCATCATTGTTAAAGTTTGGGCTTGTAGACGAGGTATCTAGTTCCTGTGTCCTCTAGGGTCCTTTGCAATTAAGGCCAGTGTCCCCGAGGTGGGCACTGATGCTATGATTGTGGCCAAGTGGCTTCAGCATGTGGCATCAGAATCACCTGGAGGGCTTGTTAAAACCCAGATTGCTCCCCTCCCCCAGCGTGTGAAATTTGCACTCCTAACAAGTTCCCGGGTGATCTATCGGAAGAACCACAAGTGAGAACCACTGATAAAGGCTGCCTGTAGGCATGTCTGCTGGAGGGGAATATGATGAAGGTGCTTTTCCATTTAATTATCCTCTTTTACAAAATCTAGTTAAAAATATAAACAGAAGCATTAATCAGTGTAGCTAATTAGTGTAATCAAATAGACCATGCACAAAGACCATGGAAATGAATATTTTGGTACAAATTGAGATTCTCCTCTTTAATCACTGATTTTTCATTAAAAATAGCTTCCTTGAACCTTGGTTTTTCTTCCAAATTTGAGTATAACATTTCTTTTCAACTCACCCTTCCCATTTATCTAAATCTAAAGTCCTCTGAGGTCTGTGTTCAAGGTTTCAGATCACCTGAGCCTCAAAAGTCCTTGATCAATCTCTACCTATGATGCTGTTAAAAAAAAAAAAAAAAAAAGTCCTGAAATTGCAGTTAATTCTACTTTGTCTAAGGAATCATTTCAGTCCCAAATTCCATTTATGGACCAAATTTTAGCCTGTTTTATTTCAGAGCTCTTCTATCCCTCTGCACACACCCTGGTAGAAGTCAAGAGAAAATGTTGCAGCAAGCTACAGTGGCCTGTGTGCTCTGGAGCAAAAAGCTATGGATGGCTCTGTTTGATCAGAAGGGAAGAATTTTCTCCTTTCTTATCCCGAGTCCTTAGACTTTGAGGCTGGTGTTTGTTATTCCCATCCCATCAAATAGGTCCTCACCCCTGTTGCAGAAAGGTTTAAAGACAAAACTGCCTTCTGAAGAGTTTGAAAGTATCCAATCAGGTTATTAGTATCTGTATTTTAAAACATACTTAAAGAGAATGTCTGGGCATGGTGGCTCACACCTGTAATCCCAGCAATTTGGGAGGCCAAGGCAGGAGGATTGCTTAAGCCCAGGAGTTTGAGACCAGCCTGAGCAACATGGCGAAACCCCATTTCTACCAAAAAGTACAAAAAGTAGATGGGTATGGTGGCGCAGGTCTGTAGTCCCAACTACTCTGGGGCTGAGGAGGGAGAATCACCTGACCCCAGAAAGTCGAGGCTACAGTGAGCTGTGATCACCCCACCACACTCCAGCTGCACTCCAGCCTGGGCGACAGAACAAGACCCTGTCTCAGAAAATAAATAAATAAATAAAATTAAATAGAGAGAATGAGGCAATGTTTTAAAAGCTCTCAAAAGTGGTTTCAGCCCAGAGGCTGAATAGATTGCCTCTGGGGACCAGCCTCAACCCCCGTGTTTGGGGATGGGGGTTCCTTTGCAGGTAAAGATAGACAAGCAAAACAACCTTTTTGGAATTCTTGCCCGTGACTATTCGAGTTACCCATGGGTAAGAGGACCGTCCAGATAGCCAGTGTTGAAATCAATCGCTGTCAAAGACTTTGATTTCAGCTGCGGCACAACCTCGCCATGGCACCAAAGGCTGCAAAGACCGAGCTTGCAGCCTTCTGGGAGGCACTGGCCTGAGCAAAGCAGGTAGATGCGAGAGCAGCCAGCCTTGTCCTGAGAGGGCCCTGCCGGAGACCACGGGGTAGAGACAACCAAAGACTTTTCCAGGCCAGGCCACTGAAGGATTGTTACTCATGCCACCCACAACACAGAGGCCATTAAGAGGCAAAGATTCAGAGTTAGAGATACTAGGCAGTGTTTGGGCCCAGCTGGGGCAAGTTGTATATTGGTGGTTTAGGGTGTAGATTAGGAGTGATATTGCTTGGGTTCAAGTCTGGCCTCTGGCGGTACCTGGGTAGCCCTGGACAAATACCTTAGCCTCCGGGTGCCTCACTTTCCCCATCTGTAAAATGGGGGTGCTAATAAGACTCCTCTCTGGTATAAAAATGCAAAACAATTTGAATGGCCTGTGGCCTAACACAGCTCTCATGGTTGTTAGTTACTGTTTTTTTAATTAGTGTTTTTAAATAAAAAATGAGGCAATGCTTATGCCCAGTATGCTCATGAAATAAATAAAGAACTTAGTTCAGACACAAGAGCATTGTGTCTGAGTTGATACCAACCTAGTATTAGGAGAAAGAGTGGTGCTGGTGTCCATAGCCCCTCCTCTCTGAAGAACTCAGGGCCTCCACAAGAAGGTAGGAGTCATCTGGTGATGGAGCAGGCGGGGGAGGTTCATCAGAGCTACCCTTGAGTCAGCAGCTAAATGGGAGTCCCAGGCAGGTTTTGCCCACGCTGGGGTAGGTTCTGATCCCGCAGTCCTTTCCCAGCTTCGGAGGAGTTGCCACTGGCGGCCATCCTCTCCCTTCTTGTGCGGGGATTTTCTTTGCAGAGAAAGTTAGAAGAACAGGTTTCTGGAACACTGGCACCCCCCTTTTTTTTAAAGGTCACAGCTCCCCGTCCTAACTACAAACCAGTACTAGGTTATTGCATTGCAAGGGCCGTCGCCCGACGGGAAATAAATGCTTGACCAACATATTCATCTGTTTATTAAGGACCTTGTTATTTTCCATGGTGACTCTGATAATGAATGCACTGAATATGTATCTAATATGAATCCACCATGGGCACTAATCCATATAAATCAACACAGATGATGATAAGAGACGGGAAAAATGATTCTCTTCCAGCATTTACCTTTTGGAATGGCAGCATTCAGAGGGCCAGCCCTTGACAACACCCTGCTTTTTTCCCGTTGTTGTTGTTGTTGTTTTTGAAACGGGGCCTTGCTCTGTTGCCAGGCTGGAGCGCAGTGGCGTGATCTTGGCTCACTGCAACCTCCGCCTCCCTGTTCAAGCGATTCTCCTGCCTCCGCCTCCCGAGTAGCTGGGACTATAGGCGTGCACCACCACACCCAGTTAATTTTTGTATATTTAGTAGAGATGGGGTTTCACCATGTTGGCCAGGATGGTCTAGATCTCTTGACCTTGTGATCCGCCCACCTCGGCCTCCCAAAATGAGCCAGGTCCTTTTTTTTTTTTTTTTTTTAACTTAATCACCTTCTAGTTGTTCGTTACGGGTTTCTAGCTGTGGACCAATTCCTTTAACCATCTACTCCACCATTAAGCACTCAAAGGTTTTTTATTTTGTTTTCTCAGTGTAAGCCACAGCAATATCGTTGTTTAAAAATAACAAAAGTTGCCACCAGGAAGACACTAGATTAGGAAGTTCTCCTTCCTTCTTGTGGTGATGGCTTTTGTAAGACCCTGAGTCCTCATCAGTGTTTTCCAGCTGGTACACTTCAGACCCCTTGGCTGACACCTTGACTGTGCCCTCCCTAGCAGTCTGGTACCCACCCTGCTATCCCCAAAGGAGCACAGATTTAATGCCTTCCCACCAGTTAACTGGTGGAGCAGGAGTTAGGATGAGGGAAGCAGTGACTTGGATCATTATAAAAGAAATAAACCCTAATCTTTTTTTAAAAACTATTATTATTACTTTAGAGACAGGGTCTCCCTCTGTCACTTAGGCTGGATTGCAGTGGCAACATCATGGCTCACTGCAGCCTTGAACTCCTGTGCTCAACTGATCCTCCCACCTCAGCCTCCTAAGTAGCTAGGTCCACAGGCATGCACACCACACCTGGCTATTTTTTTTTTTTTTTCTAGAGATGGGGTCTTGCTATGTTGCCCAGGCTGGTCTCCAACTCCTGGCCTCAAGTGACCCTCCTGCCTCAGCCTCCAAAACTGCTGAGATTACAGGTGTGAACCACCATGCCAGGCCTGAGTAATCGTTTTTGATGTCCAAAGCTTAGTACAGAAACTATATTCACCAGGGACTTTACTACCATTTTCCCTCAACACTAGGCCCACCCGCACACAGAAGACAAACCTAGCTGCACTCCAGGTCTCCTCTGAGCTCGTTCGGCTGCATTTTCCACCTCTGTCTCACATAGACATGGGTTCTATCCAAAGCCCAAACCCCTTGGCTAAACAAGCTACAAATCTCCCACAGACCATCCATCATTCAGTTCTGCTGCCCATTTCATGCCCTTCCCACCATCCCCCAATTTTCTTTGTGTTCAGTACAACAGGTTCCGGCAGGCTTAGGAATATTTAGATGTCCCCAAATCACCCATGAAGCCGGCCACTGCATGGTGTTGGAAGGACCCTCTAGGAAATGGCCCAGATGAGGAGGTGGGCTTGGTCGAGACCCGGACCAAGAGTTTCAGACTGTGAACCTGAACATGGTCTCAGCTTGGGCAGGAGCCAGCAGGCCCAAATGCACTGATGCGGGTTTGCCGTCAATACATACTTGCTACATTTTCTCTCTCTCAGTTATCCACTTGGGTCCCAGGATACTGTTAGTAGTCTTGATTACTCGCTGGTTGAAAGATTTGCTACCCAGTGGGCCCATCATCACTTCCTGGGTAGAGAATTAGCTTTTAAATATGCATTCTGTCATCCAAGCATCTGCTGGCGTCAAGGAGAGATGAGAAGCCCCTTGAATTCATGGATGTTTTCACCGTAGTATAATTTGAGGCAGTGGAGCAAACAAAGTCTCAGTATTGGTGATCTTGGTTTGGCTACGGATTACATATGTTTTGTAATGATGTACTCTTTTGTGTGACCAGCGCTGTGGAGTTATGCTATTTAATTTGTGATAGGCTCACACCACATCTGCAGTACTCTCACTTCCTACCCAATTGTTATGACCGCTTGGGACAGGGGCCTCATCCTTGTCTTGTTTTAATGTCTAGGCTGCCGTCCAGTGGCTGCCCTGGCTAATTACATATTAGCATGCTAATTGTTCATCATTGATACTGAGGTGATATTCAAAGGTCTCAGCCCAACCGGTGGGAATTGTTTCCTTGTTGCTTCTATTACCTTTTGCTAATGAGGTTGATATCAAACATCACTGCAATCTACTGGGTTATCTTCAGCAAAGACAAGTGTGATAAAGGGGAAAAGATGGATGAATATTATTCAGCCAATAACCTATTGTTGAGGTGTCTTTTACATTTTGGGGGCTTAGCCATAGTTTTTTGGATAATCCAGATTTTATTCTACTCCCTAATCTCTAGCTCTGATTTTGACTGGATGATCTGGTAATCATTTAAAAACATCTTTATTTGGCTGACATCCTATAGAATAGATTTCTACAATCCTCCCACCTCTCATCCCCTTTAGAAAAAATCTCTCAAGTTTTATTTCACTTTCAGCATTACAGGCTGAATTTTAAGTAATGGAAGCGAGCATTTTCTATTAGATTGATTTGTTAATTTTCTGACTATTTAGGCAAGCTACCTCTCCCCTCAGAAACTCAATTCTCACTTCCATAATTGGGGATAATAATTAGTATTCCTGTCTCTCAGGATTGTTATGAGAATTAAACGATATGAAATGGGAAAGTCTTTTGCTACACTGACCTTCAAATCTTTTGTTTCTAGCTCCGGTATTACTGAAAAAGATCCAAGCTGAGATGTTCCCTGAACACTCTGGAAATGTAAAATTAAGCTGCCAATTTGCGGAAATTCATGAAGATTCTACTATCTGCTGGACAAAAGATTCAAAGTCCATAGCCCAAGTGCAGAGAAGGTGCGATATTTTTCCCTGGTTCCTTTTCACAGTTGCTGCTTGTTTATTTCACAACATGGTTGTAAAAGAAAAGAATAAATTGTAGGACGTGAAAAGGAAAATTGAAGCAGAGATTCCACACCTGCAATATTTAAAAAGATTAAATATTGGAAGACAAGTGTCTGTATGGGGAAATGATGGAGGATTCTTGCCTGGATTTTGCCACCATTGAGTTCTGGGGTTTTGGGAAGTCACACAACCTTTCACTACGTTTTTTAAATCAGGGAAAGGAACATGTCAAATGATATTCTAGGCTGAGGTTCTGTGGTCCTAAGATTAAAGAGCTCTCGTCTCTATGTCTGTGAATTTAACCTGGGTGTGTTTTCTGTTTCATAAATTCCCAGTAATCTGATAAAGGTCAAACAAAGCTTAGAGGATGAATAAAAACAACAACAGCAGCAATCTATGAAGTTACAGAAAAGTAACAGCTATTGAGGGTGACCAGCAGCCATCATTAATATGGGAACACCTGTTTATTTCTGGGTCTCTGTGATTTTTATTTTTATTTTTGAGACAAGGTCCTACTCCCATCTCCCAGGCTGGAGTGTAGTGGTACAGTCATGGCTCACTGCAGGCTCCACCTCCTGGGCTCAGGTGATCCTCCCACCTCAGCTTCCCAAAGTGCTGGGATTGCTGGAGTAGCTAGGATTGCTGGAGCACATCACCATGCTTGGCTAATTTTCTTTCGTATTTTTAGTAGAGACAGGGTTTTGCCATGTTGCCCAGGCTGGTCTCAAACTCCTGGCCTCCAGTGATCCACCTATTTCCGCCTCCCAAAGTGCTGGGATTACAGGAGTGAGCCACCGCGTCTGGCCATGTCCTTAAGATAATAAAGGAGAGAAAAATGAGGAGGAGAGAGATGAGAGTGAGAATCATTGCCAAGAATATCCCCTGTGGAATGAACCAGATCAGTGGCTTCCTTAAGCAGCTTTTCTTGGCAATAAATGCTTGTTCAAGTGAACTGATGAATTCAAGCTTCATCTGACACAATCTAGAAACAAATCGCCTGGTTCGAAAGTCAACCCTCTGCCAAAGGGGTTCCCAGTTTAGCTCCCTAAGATATGGGAAGGGTTCTAATCCCCTTATTTTTGTCATCAGTAGACTGAAAAAGTGAGAAAATCTGAGTTTTCTGTTTAATTAAACCATATATGTCTGCTTGGAACGTATGTCTGGAAACTATTTCTCAAATGTAGTGATGGGATACTTGAGCTATGATTTCATTTCTACTAACATCACTCCAGAGCATTTAACTGGATTGTGATTGATAGAATAACCACTTTGCCGAAAATGTCACCATTACCCTGCCCGTCTTCGGTATGGCTTAAGAAGAATTATAATGGAAAAGAAATGGTTTGCTTTTTAAGTCAAGGAGGTTCCCTAGAGCTTCACTTGAAAAGGTACTAATGCTAATTATTCATTTTAAATTATTTTCTGAAGCTGTCAGCCAAGAACAATTAAGCAGCATTTTCACTGTTTTTCCATTCATCAGCCTTGCTCTGAGCTCAGAATTACCACTTGAATATTTGCATATCCCTTTTCCATTTGATATATATTTACCATAAATCTGACTTTCCCCTGGGGAGCATATGTCATTAGCAAGCATTCTACTTACTGATGACGCGTGGCTAAGGCCTTTGATTCCTAGTGATGTCTCCTTGGTGACAGTGTCTGGCTTTGTTGAACCCATCTGCTTTCTCCATGCGAACACTTGAGAATATTTAGGAGTCGTAACTCATTTGTTTATTGAGAGATCATTTACATTATTTCAAGTGGGTTTTCAAATGTTTGCTAATTTCTCTCATGCCTACTTCCAGGCCAGCGTTTCCCTTCACTTGTGCCTCCATGCAATGTGTCACTGTCCTTGTATCATTTTCAAAGAGTTGAAATCTCTCACATATAATATCAACCTGGAGCAAAGGTCTTCTTGAACTTACTAAATCATGAGGGAACCTGTACAATGGCAAGATTGTTCAAAGGAGCATTTAAGGAATGAAGATTTAGATAGTCAATCAGGTAAAGGAATGCGGAAATACATTTTGAAATAGATATAACACTGGTTAATGTTTGACAGGTAATAAACTTTGAGAGTTATCTTTTCTCTTGCACAGAAACCTAAAAGTTAACCTGTAACTTTTAGGTTACAGGTTCTATGTAAATGGTTCTATGAGTGGGTTCTGTGTAAATGGGAAATAGCAAAGCATTCTCCTTTCAGTAGATCATCCTCAAGTGATCCTGTTGAACAATGACTGTGATCCTCCTCCTGTCTTTGTCCGCAACTTTTGGGTACTTTCCTTAACAGGCTAAAGTGTGGAAATTAGGTGTCAGAAGACATTCTTGTGGTTAGGGCAAGACTAATATACTTCAAAGAAACCAATAAGAAGAAAGTGGTAGCTTGGTTTGAGTCTCTGTGTAGCAGTGGCATGTCTTGGCTCCATGGAGACCTCAAGGTGGCACCCTCCGGTGCTATTTGGCCATCAATGGGTTCCTTCTTGGTAACCAGGAACCCATTCTCCACTCTGGGGAGAGAGGTCCTTCTGAGTTCCCTGGGCTTTTGAAAGTGCAGCTGTCCATGTGGAGTGGCTCTGCTGGTAGCTGAGCAAGGTCATGGAGCACAGGTCATGTTGTTCCTGCTGGGAACCAGTGAATGAGGAGCTGGCTGCTGGGATGGCAGGATCTCCTTGGATGGCCCTGAGAGAAACAACCCGAGGGCTTCTCAGCCCAGACTGAGTGGTGGGTGTGAGTGCTGCCAAGCCCTGGCTCCTTAGGGCTGGTGATGGATGATGGGGTCTCTCAGAGAAGTCCCCACTCTAACTACCCTCTCCCTGCAGCCAATTTCATTCTTTGTGTTCCTCTGATCACACTCTGGGCATGGGCTTCTTTTGCATTTGTCTGTACAGCTAATCACCACTGATGTTCTGCTGTCTGCGGCCATTTCCTAAGGTAAAAAGATTTGTCCCTTACAGGGTGAGAGGATATGAAACTGAGCTTACCCTCTTGGTAAAAAAAAAGGCACAAGGTCACTTGTTTTTGCTTTCTATAGCTGTATTGGTATTTTCTGTTTGTCCATTTCCTCCCAGATTAGAAGACCCTCAAGGGCAAGGACGATGCCTTTTTTTTTTTTTTCATCATCAAATCCCCCGGTACTAAGCACAGAGCAGATACTCCACAAATGCTGGATAGAACTCTTTGGGACTTCCGAGGTAGTTTTGTTTCATGGAGAAAGCACACTAATACTACTGTTCCCCACTAATACTACTGCTCACCATGAAGTAATGACTCGTGACCCTCTCAGGACTGGGCTTTTCGCCAAAGCTTCACACGCTGGTGTCACTTACTCCTTATGACACATCTGAGCTGTGATCTTGCTCGTTCTGCTTTCACAGAGGAGGAAACTGAGGGTGAGAGGCTACATAATACACCTGAGGTCAGCCTCAGGGTTGGGATCCAGACCTTTCTGACTCCTATATGTATTCCTTCTAGAAGAAAGCCTTGGGTGGGGACCATGGGTCAAGCCAGGAAAAACGGTCTTCATGGTTCTGGGCCAAGTATCGGAGAATTTCTAGGCTGGAAGGAAGATATTCATGGGACAGTTCTAGTTCAGCCCCCAGCCCTTCAGGTAGCACTTGCCTGCCCCTTTCAATAACAGAAAGGCTGTGCCGATCCTAGAGCTTTGGAGAAGGACTTTCCACAAGCCGCCTCTGTGGCCCGCTCAGTGTTTTACTGCCCTCTCCGGAAATCTCCCCCTTATAACTGGACTTGTTCACATCCAGTTTTAACCATACAATGGGAGACGTTCAGAGCCCCCAGGAATGAAGGAAGTTGAATGATTTCATGAACTTCGTTTTAAGCCACTGGTATATTCCAGGGAAGGAATGTATATACTGGAGGCTTAAAGTCTATTGAAAAAACAACCAATAATGAACACTTTTTTTGAATATGCAACTGAGACAAACTCAAGCTCGGTGAATTTTTGTTGTTAAACGATGAAACAAACCCAAGCTAAAATGTACACCACACACATGTATACACATAAACATACAGAATCTTGGTGAATGTTTAAACAAAGTTCATTTTAAAGAACAAAACCAGAACAACATTTGAATATCCTCTTTTTTTTTTTTTTCTGTAAAGTAAGTTTTTTGTTTGAGACTTTGGAATAAATATGTGGCTCTACCTGTATTTCAGATTATCCCAGACTTGAGGGCAGGAACCATAATTTACTTGGGGAGGCAGCTTAATGAGGTCAAAATCATTTGCTTACATTTTTCTACGTCTCAGTTTCCTCATCTGCAAACTGAGAATAGTAAACGTAGTTCTCTCATTAGGTTGTTCTGAGGACATCATGAAATTGATCTTTATGTGATTTGGCACAATGCCTGGTACATACCAAATGCTCGGTGCACATTGGCTCTCAGCATCATCATCACTGTCATCATCACCACCAACACGACCACCACCGCCAGTTTTAGTTTTCATAGCACAGTGACTGGAACTCAATAACATTGGGTGGGTGACTAGTTGCACGGTTGGTACCTCACTAGGGGAGTACAGGACACTATTATAAAGGGGTCCTCAGTCATGAATCCTTAGGTAGCATAAAGCTAAGCCCTTTTCTCTTAGGTAGCATAAAGCCCTTTTCTCTTGTTCCTTATTGTGTAAGTTTGGGTTTGGAGTTATCAGACTTTCCGTCAAGCACAGGACGCCCGGATTAGTCACATAATTGAGCTGAATTCTGAGCAGAAATGTTAACAACAGCTCCCAGAATTCACAATTTCAATTCTTGGCTCTACTCATGGCAGTTAAACCTACTGAACGTTTCTTTGTGTTCATACCGCTTATTGGAGTGAGCGTGTTAGCCAAAATGTAATGACTCTCCTCTGTGGAGACATCAATTATTTAAACAGTGGATCGTGATTTTGCCCCTTGGGCAGCTCATTGGCTGAAAACATGTGAGCAGGGAAGCCTTCGCTTCTTTCTTCTTAAATATATTAGAAAAAAAAAATGCAACCGTAGAATGATGAAGTGTGTCAATGTGAATATTCCTCATTGTAGTGCAGGGGACAACTCCACTGTTTCCTTTGCCATCGTTCAAGCCAGTCTGAAGGACCAGGGCCTCTATTACTGCTGCATCAAGAACAGCTATGGAAAAGTGACTGCTGAATTTAACCTCACAGCTGAAGGTAGACCACAGCTTTTCAGTTTTCAGTGAAAACCACTAGCCCGGGCCCGTTCACAGTGGACATTTGTACTGAAGCCATTCTCTGCTTTGTCTTCTTCTAGTTCTCAAACAACTGTCAAGTCGCCAGGATACTAAAGGTAAGTCAGTTGGGGTTGGCCTGCCAGAGGAAATGGGCTTGCCATAAAGCATAAAATAGCTCCCGGAGTAAAGGGTAGAAGCAGTAATCCTATGGGCTCTTCCAACTGAGAAGGAGAGCTATGGCGTGACTTGAGAAAAGAATGACAATTCATGAGCCAATTCAATGTGAATGTAGGGCCATACTTCCTATTGTAAGTTCATTAGACTATAGATATCCAGAATTGGATGGTACACTATAGCAGGGGAGTTTCTGGGGAACACGTAGAGGGGGAGTTTGGATTTGACTTTTCCCTTTAAACATCGGTCTTACATTCAGCCCTTCTGCATGGGAGTTTTCAGCTGCTGGGACTTATACAGCTTGTTTTGTTTCTTCAATTTTCTTTTCAGTTTGACTAGCTGAGCAGATTCCCAAAGACAGCCAGGTGTCTGGAGAATCATTCCATTCGTTTGTGTCTTAATGAAAAGAAAAGATGTGTTTCTCTGCTTTCTTTTGGCACCTGGTGTTAGCCACAGCCTAACACTGCTGTTCATGAATGCTCGTGCTGTCCCTGGGCCACCCAGTGAATTTTCCACAGTTTGGTGGAATCTGTGTTTGCCATGTCTTCCCTCTTAAGGAGAATTACTCACCCACCTACGCCCACTCATGCCCACCCTTGCCTGGTGGTGTGCTGGGGTAAATATTTAACAACATGCCAAGGGTTGGGGAAGTTCTGAGTCCTACAATTTCCATGATGTAAATTCAGTGTGGCCACTTTTAAACCACCAGTGTGACATCACACATCATGGAACTGGGAAGAGAGCTGCCCGTCATCAGCTCTCAGGAGCTGCAGGAGGCCAGTTCCACACACCACGGTGGTCCAACCTCACCCCATGTGACCATGACTTTCAGCACAGGGGAGGATCCACTGTCAGTTTTAGGAGAAATATGGATAAATTCTGACAGTTCATTGAACTAGCATCTTAAAGATTTATTGCATGTAGTGATTTTTAAAACAAACAGAACGCCTGAAATCTCCGCAGAAACAAGTAATAAAAGTAATCAAAATGCAGTCACATCCAGTGTATCAAAAGCAAGAAACTGAGATCTCAACTTAGAAATGGTCTAGCAATAGGCCAGGCGCAGTGGCTTACGCCTGTAATCCCAGCACTTTGGGAGGCCGAGGCAGGTGGGATCATGAGGTCAAGAGATCAAGACTATCCTGGCCAACATGGTGAAACCCCATCTCTACTAAAAATACAAAATTAGTCTGGCGTAGTGGCGCATGCCTGTAATCCCAGCTACTCAAGAGGCTGAGGCAAGAGAATGGCTTGAACCGGAAAGCAGAGGTTGCAGGGAGCCGAGATCACACCACTGCCCTCCAGCCTGACAACAGAGCAAGATTCCATCTAAAAAAAAAAAAAAAAAAAAAAAAAAAAGAAAAAGAAATGGCCTAGCAAATATTGTGATATTAATCCAAAATAGTAAACTTAAATACAAGCTCTTCACAAACCCACTCAGATGCTAAATACCCATCTTTAGTGTGTAGCATACGTGTGTTATAATTTAAAATCCTTCCTCCATTTCTGCTCTTATCTCCCCAGAAGGCAAAATATGCAAAAGAATCCCCTTCCTCCTAATACTTTAGAAAATAAAAAGACTCTCAGAAGGGAGTCTCTGTTTCATCAGCTTCTTAGCATTGATTGGCATTCACATCTCAGACACTTGCTATGGTTTTATTGGTTTAGGTTTGCATAAGCTCATTTCTCAAGGATTACTTGAGAGACCCCAGTGGGGATGAGCTACTGGCCATTTGGTGGAAATGGTACCACCGCTGTAGCCCAGTGATTCCAGCCACAGAGCTTGGGTCTGAACCCTGATGACATCACCTTCTCCCGGTTTCTGGCCCCGTTGTAACTGGGGGTGTCAGTTTCACTGACTCACCCAGCTGGGGAAGTAATTCTTGGCCCCTCCCTATCCTTGTACCTTCAGATAAAGAAGCCGAAAATTACTTTTATGTTATTTCTTTGAGACAGGGTCTCACTCTTTCGTCCAGGCTGGAGTGCAGTGGCACAATCATAGCTCGCTGCAGCCTTGGCCTCCTGGACTCTAATGATCCTCCTACCTCAGCCTCCTGAGGAGCCTGGACTACAGGTGCTCACCACTGCACCCGGCTGATTTGGAAAATTACTTTTAATCACTTTTTTTTTTTTAATTTAGAGGACTCTCTCACTAAACAGTTTATTAATTTAATTCTCTATAGGAGGAATAAATAATCTTTTACAAGATGGTCTCTAATTTAAACACTAATAAAGCTAAGCTTATGAGAAAGTTGGAAATGAATCATGGACAAAATGAAGCCCAATTTAATGATGTTATTATGTTTTATGAATATATTTGTGGATTGCTTTTTTGCACCTCGGAGCAGTCTTCGTAACCAGTGGCTGCAGGTATCCTCATGGTTTCTCTGAGTTGATTTGGATTTCACAATGTATGGGTGTAGCAAGGAACCTCAGGGGGGCATTGGGATCTCCCAACACTCATCTGGCGAGTCTGTCTGGTGGATTCCAATGAGTCTCTCCTGATTCTTTTTTTTTTTTTTTGAGACGGAGTCTTGCTTTGTCACCCAGGCTGAAGTGCAATGGCAAGATCTCGGCTCACTGCAACCTCCACCTCCCGAGTTCAAGCAATTCTCCTGCCTCAGTCTCCCGAGTAGTTGGATTACAGACACCTGCCACCACACCCAGCTAATTTTTAGTATTTTTAGTAGAGATGGGGGTTTCATCATGTTGGCCAGGCTGGTCTCGAACTCCTGACCTCAGGTGATTCACCTGACTTGGCCTCCCAAAGTTCCAGGATTACAGGTGTGAACCACCACACCCAGTCTCTCCTGATTCTTTCTCATGGCACTGCCCCCTCTCAGGGATTTTAGGCAGCGTGGAGTGTGAGTCCTGGCAACAGATGGCTCTGCAAAGCTGCAAAGAAAGTTGCACCTTCTCCACAACCCGAGACTTGCACTGCTACATGCCTGCTTTTCCTGAGCCTCCCCTCAGGTGCTCAGTTCTCTGGTTACCTTCATTACTCTTACCAGGGAAGAAATTGTTCCAAAGGAAAAATTCTCACCTCCATCTCTCACTTTAAAAGAGGTGCAAACTCTAACCAAGCGGACGCGCTCATTTCAGCCATCACTGCGGACGACATTTTTGGACAGGCTGTCCTTTCAGATTTCTGCAGAGCTGCAGAGTCTCTACCTTCTGCTTCTGTAAAGGAAGGCCCAGTAGATGAGTTTCAGCTTGGAAAGTTCCACCTAGAACTCCAGCTCTTGCCCTGCAGGATTTTCAAGAGACAAAGAATAGGTCTAAGATTTCTTTTTCTCTTTCATGGCTTTATCTTTGTCAAATAAGCATTTCTGTTGGAAATCATAGACAGGGTTATTAATTTTACCACATGTAGTAATATGCAAACAAATTTTCCTTCCTACTTTCTAAGCATATGGCCTGGGCCAACTTTTATCTTCAGTTAATTAGATTTGCTGAATTTTAAAGCATAAGGTGCACAAACATTTTACTTTTAATAATTAAATTTTAGAAATATGAGGGTTTTGAAGGAAGACAGGATGTGACAGAGATAACTCATGTTCATTGGGCTCTAAGGTATGTACATATAACATTTCCTATACTCTGTAAGTGGTATTAGAGGCCAAATTGTTAACATTAATCATATAACTGGAATGGAACTGAGAAGGTGTGGGATACAGAAAAGCATTCTCTCTCTATTTTCTCACCTAATTTTTAAATTTAACTGTTAAAATAAAACTGTGCTTTTCTCCATAGATTATTTTTTTTTCCTTGGTTCTGTGACTTAGAGTAAAATCTGTGATCCAGGTATTGCCTAAAACTTTATCTGAGAAAATGTCCCATTTGCCTGTTTCCCTGCAGCTCCAACCCAGTTCTCTCCAGAAACCCAGGGCAAGTTACTCAGTAGGAGTTACAGGGGAAGAAAAACAATTTATTCTTCAGTCTTCATAAGTTCTTAGTTGGAACAGATCCCTGTAACAAAAGAAGATTAGTGAGAGGAAAACAAACAGGTTGATGAGCATGTATAATTCATATATACATGGGAGACACTCAAAAAGTGCTCATTTAAGAAGGGATTTGAATTCCAGCTTATACAGCATCTAAACAAAGAATGGTGCATTTTTAGAGAAGTGACAGGGCAGAGGGAAGGACTTTGGGTAGGTAAGGGCAGTAGCTTGTGGAAAGGCATTTCCACAGCCCTGGAAAATCTCCCAGCATCTGGATTCTCATTAATGCTTGTTCACATCTGCTGCTCATCTCCAGGCTCATCAGGATCTAAAGTTGTCTTCAGTCATTAACTTTTGTTCTTCCTGGTAGAAGGGGGAGTAGAATTTTTTCTGTGTTTATAAATTTATGTCCTGATTTTAGGCAAATAGAGGGAAGGCAGAGAGCTTTCTTGCCTCTGCTGCTTCTTAATTGCCTTCAGCTCAACAATCCTTTTACCAAAGAGGCAGATTTGAGGGCGACATATTCAGATGCCCCATAGTCTTCTGCTGGCCTTTGTGAAAATGCTAGGAGCACCTTTAGGAATATCCTCTTTCTTCCAGAAACTTCTAGCTCTTTACCTAGTTTTTCTGTTTGAAAATCCACCGAACCCCACTCCCTTTCTTTCTTTCTGGCAGTAACTAGGCCCTGACCTTAATCAATATACCTTATCAGAATAGTTTCAGTCTCCTTATAGTTTTAATAGCTACCATCAATCTCAAATCATATGATTTGAAATATTTTGAGAGGAGAAGAAAAATATTTCCTTAAGCATTGTATATAGAAACATGAAGTAAGATTCTTCACACAACCCATGATTTCTTTCTTCTTGTAAACATTCAGAAAGATGTCAGTTTTCATCAGTTTTGAGGAGTGGAAAGCATTTTAAAAATCCAAACAATCTTATTTCATTGAAAGCCACGTAATTTTCTTCTCTCAGTGAATAAGAAGTCTGATTGGGTCATCTCTAGTTTAAAATGGACCTTCCTGATTAAATTCACTGTCATCTCAAACACATGTAGAATCCACTCTGAAAAGAAAACAGCTGCTAGAAAACTCAAAATAATTCTACTTTTCTTTTTACAAATAAATCCAAAATGATTCTACATTTTTTTCAATTTCTCTTCAAAGGCCATTCTTCTTACTATTTGTTTTGTTTTGGTTATTGTTACCTGTTTCTTATACTTATCGCATGCTTTCTCAATGGAGGCAGTATTGCTCCCAAGAGGACCAACACTGGTTCTTGGCAGGCAAAGAAAAGTCACTCTTTTTCTGTATAAAGCACAGATATACACATGGTACATAAACAGATAGCATATTTGTGGTATTAAGCTTTCATGGCAGGCAATTAAAACAAATTCCAGCAAAGATTCCGGGGTTGGGGGGGCAATAATGAAAAAATGGTGGATCCGATACTATCAGATCTTATCATTGGTCTTTCTTCCCTCCTCTACACTTTACCCATCTTTTCAACTTGCCTTTTGTTACTTTGCTTGGTTCCACTTATATTTTCCAGGTCTGTCTAGAATTCTTTTCCTGATCTTTCCAGTTTTGCTCCAACCCATCTCTCACTGATGTTCCCACATTCTCATTCAGTGACCTGTCTCCTCCTCACCAACCCACTCATCTCTTCTTTTAGCTATGCCACTTTTGAAGGGTAAGTGTGGCTGCCCCCTCTTGGTTCTGCAGGTCAGCCTTGTCATTGTCCTTGTGTGGGGACCCTCCCCATGTGGAATTAGCTAAGGAGCAGGACTGGGAGGTATTCTTTCCACCCAAAGCTGTGCTGTGTTTCAGGATGCGAAGAGATTGAATTCAGCCAACTCATCTTCAAAGAAGACTTCCTCCATGACAGCTACTTTGGGGGCCGCCTGCGTGGTCAGATCGCCACGGAGGAGCTGCACTTCGGAGAAGGGGTTCACCGCAAAGCCTTCCGCAGCACAGTGATGCACGGCCTCACGCCCGTCTTCAAACCTGGCCATGCCTGTGTGCTTAAGGTGCACAATGCCGTTGCCTATGGGACCAGAAATAATGATGAGCTCATCCAAAGGAACTACAAGCTCGCTGCCCAGGTGGGTCCATCTGCCCAAAGGCTGTCGCTTCTGGTGTGATAGCCACCCGTGATAAGACGAGATGAAAATCAGACTCAGGATTGATGGGAGTGTCTTCAAAAGGGTGTTTTTCCTCTTTGGGGGTTTCAATTCAATCTAAGTGCTGGAGATCACTTCTCAGTTCTCAGGAGTAATTTCTTGGCCTTATGCCAGCTACTGGGGACTCAGCCAATGCCTAGAGACACCTCACCAGTTCTAACCTGAGATGTAACTGATTTTGTTTCTAAGAAGCCCTATGAGATCCCTGGGGGGTTGAATCTACTTGGACCTAGGATGATATGGAAAGTGGGGGTTCTAAGCTACACTAGATGCCTGAGTCCCTGGGAACAGATAACATCAGCACTAGTTGCTGGAGTGTTTTGTTTGGGTTTGTCTGTGGAGAGGGAGAGGGGTGGGGTATATCCAGGAGAGTCATCATTGGTCTTGTTTTCTGCCTTCCTGAGTTTGGTTTAATGTTAGCGTATAAAACAGGAAGAGAGACAGACACAAGGCCCTAGCTGAGTTCTCATTTCTCTGTGTTATCGAATCATAGAACTCGAGGCGAGAGGAGAGGGCAGGAGAGCCTTAGCTTCTCTCCATCCTTCCTCCTCCTTTCCACATATTTGGTCCATATATTTCACTCCCTCTTTGTTTTTTGCTTTTTGAGACGGGGTCTCACTCTGTCCCCCAGGCTGGAGTGCAGTGGCATGATCATGGCTCCACAGCAGCCTTGACCTCCTGGCCTTAAGCAACCCTCCTGCCTCAGCCTCCTAAGTAGCTAGGACTACGGGCGCATGCCATCACGCCCAGCTAATTTTTATTTATTTATTTTTTTTAGACGCAGGGTCTCCCTAGGTTGCCCAGGCTGGTCTTGACCTCCTGGAGGGTTCCAGGTGACCCTCCTGCCTCTGCCTCCTGAAGTGCTGGGGTTACAGGCATGAGCCCCCACCGCACCTGGTCCACACATTTCACTGTGAAATTGTGAAAGTTGGGTCTTTCACAAGCTATGTGCCCCTTTAAAATGTTTACCATAAACATTTTAAACAACTAAAACCATTTAGGCCGGGCGCGGTGGCTCAAACCTGTAATCCCAGCACTTTGGGAGGCCGAGACTGGCGGATCACAAGGTTAGGAGATCGAGACCATCCTGGCTAACACAGTGAAACCCCGTCTCTACTAAAAAATACAAAAAAGTAGCCGGGCGAGGTGGCAGGCGCCTGTAGTCCCAGCTACTCAGGAGGCTGAGGTAGGAGAATGGCGTGAACCCGGGAGGCAGAGCTTGCAGTGAGCTGAGATCCGGCCACTGCACTCCAGCCTGGGCGACAGAGCAAGACTCCGTCTCAAAAAAAAAAAAAAAAAAAAAATTAAAACCATTTAAAATATTAAAATCCATAGGTTAAACTCAGATGAATCTCTCAGGTACAGCCAAGCACTAAGCATCATGATCCTACAGCAACGTCACGTGGGACTCCGTGCTTCTGAAGGCAGCACTGCTCTCTGAATCTAGGATTCTGTCCATTGTATTCCTTTCTCCTCCCAATCCACCCCGCTTTTTTCTTTTCTCTCTGAGTATTCCCTCTATCTCAAATATGACACAGTCTTGGAAAATCTCCCAGCATCTGGATTCTCGCTCAGAAAAGCCCCACAGCGTAGGATGCAGAATCCACTTAGCTTTTCCTAAGGCAGAAATCTTGTGCTGACGTGACGAGGGGCCAGTCCCCTTAGTTCTGGGGTGAATTTCAGTCATGCTGACTCAAGAAATTTTATAGTTCAGGGACACCTGGTCCCGGAGACCACTTGACCTCCACCGGGATAGTTTCTTCATGTCTCAGAGCTCCTCTGTAGGTGGCCAACTCTAGGTTCTAGTAATTGTTGCCTCTGCGACCCCAACCAGGGGATGGGCTAGTCAATTCATTGGCTTTACCTTACTGGGAAATCTCCTGAATAGTCTTACTGGGCGATGCTGTCTGAATTTCCTGTAGTCACTGGGGCTCTCTCTGTATTTTGGTGATATAGGAATGCTATGTTCAAAATACTGCCAGGTATTATGCCAAGATCTACGCTGCTGAAGCACAGCCTCTGGAAGGCTTTGGAGAAGTGCCTGAGTAAGTGTATTTACCCTGCCTTGTGTCACACTCCTGACTCACTGGGGACTGGGAGGGATGAGAGAGTGAGAAGGAACAGTAGGGCAAGTGTTTCAGCTGGTCTCTCAGTCTGTAAGCTCCATGAGGGCTCACATGGCTGCTATCCTACCCCTTGCTGGGTAGGATATTTAATATTATATAATATAATAATATTATATTTAATATTTAAGAAGATAAATATTCTTTAAATAAATGAATGGATGGATGGGTGTATGGATTAATCCATCCAATACATGAATCTACCATGTTAAATAGAAAAGAAAGGATATCTACTCTCATAGCTATTACATTGTCTAAACAGTAAACAAATACAACAGAACAAGAGATATCACAAGGCAATTAGTCCCATGATGAAAATAAAATATGGCAATATATTACGGAAGAGTGGATTGGGTGATCTGAAACATAGTAACATAGTACCCACTTCCTGGAATCCTCCAGAGACAAATCACACCCACTTTTATCTACTCTTTGCCTAAATATTTACTGGCCCAAGCAAATTTTGGGGAGCCTGGAGCTTGCGTTTGCGGCACTGTTTGTCTGGCTGAGATCGTATCTGCACGCTTAAATGGACAGAAAAAGGGCTTAGCTAGTGCATGTTGGAACTTTTTACCTATCAGTAAAAACTGGGAGAAGGAAGAAGGAAGAAATTCTTGTCTGCATTGCGCCTGTTAACTCACAAAATGGGAAAAATCGTTTCCCTTAGGTGGTACATTTGGAAGACCATGTGTAAAGCATAACACTTTCTGCTCTTAAGAAATGCTTAACACACTTCAGTACACACTTACAATTGCTTTTCTGTTAATTACGCAGACAGCCATCTGGACTGAGTTCAGCTTTCACGATATGGAAACTGGCTCCTTTTTCCCCCAAGCCCCGCTTTTCCCAGTCTCCGTCCTCTTAAGTTTTCTTCAAAAAGGAAAAGATTTAACCCACAAGTCAACCGTACCACACACAGAACCACAGTGCCCTCCAACAGGGACAGACCCAAGTTTTGTGTGGCTTGACTCTTATGCAATTTGGGCTTCTTTCTTTCCTTTCTTTCTGTTTTATTTTTTGTAAGAGACAGGGTCTCCCTCTGTTGTCCAGGCTGGAGGGCAGTGGTGCAATCACAGCTCACTGCAGCCTTGACCTCCCGGGCTCAAGCGATTCAGCCTCCCAAGTAGCTGGGACTACAGGTGCCCACCACCACACCTGGCTAATTAAAAGCATTTTTCTTGTAGAAACAGGGTCTCTGTATATTGCCCAGGCTGGCCACCTACAACTCCTGGCCTCAAGTGATCTTCCTGCCTCGGCCTCCCAGAGTGCTGGTGTTATAGGCATGAGCCACCAATGTGGGCCCTTTTTAAAGAAAAGAACACAAAATTATAAATATCAGGATTGATCTAGGGACTGGGAAAGGGCTCATGCAAGTGAAGGATCAGGAGGCTGATTCATTTGCTGCATTAGCATCATGGTAAATAGGCCACTGCCTTAAAGATACGTTAGGACATTTTTCTATCTAAACCATTTTTCCATTCCTTACAAGGGGAGAGTTTGTGACCACATGAATGCTGATGGTACACGGGAGGAGTAAGGGGCCTCAGAAGGGCCTCTGGGCCAGACTCCAGGTTTATGGAACCTAAATCAGAGGACTCTACAGCCAGAAAACACACACCCCCCACACACACACAAACAACACTCACCATACACACAAACACACACACACCACACAAACAACACTCACCATATACACAAACACACCCACCACAACACAAACACACTGCAAACACACCCCCCACACACGCCACACCCCCCACAAACACACTGCAAACACACCCCCCACACACGCCACACCCCCCACACCACACATACACACCACACACATTACATACAAACACACACACCACAATAATATGATATATAGATATATATATTTACATATAACATATTAAGATGACAGAGAGGGAGAATATATTTGAGAGAGAAATTCATACTATACATACTTTCACACAAAACACAACACACACCACATACAAACAGACGCCACACACACATACACACAGCACACACATACCACACATACATACATAGCACACATACAACACACACATATGTATTACACACCCCCCCACACCACACATACAACATACCATACTCACATGCACACCACATATGCACATACACACACACATACACACACCCCATACACACACCACACCACACACACCCCCACTCACCACACCACACACATACACACACACACAACACACATACACACAACACACACCACACACACCACATAACACACACACCTCACACACATACAATACACACACACACCACACAAACATACCACACACATACCACACACACATACACACAGCACACACATACCACACATACATACATATATCACACACACACACAACCACAAACCACACGCACAACACATACACACAACACACGCACACAGAGCTGACCCTGTGTATTACCAGCCTTCTCTGAAAGCCTGCACATCTAGAGAGAGGGCCAGGAGTCCGGTCCCCCGCCCCCATTACCACAGCCCCCTAGACCGACCCCCCCGGGGGCCACCCCCATGTTTATTTCCAGGCAATGAAGCGGGCCTGGAGAAGCCTATTTTAATGGAGCATGTGAGATCTTGGAGAGAAAACACTCCTCATTTGGGCAGCTTCTGTTTTTGAATTCATGAATATCAATGGAGTCACATTGTCTATGCAAATGGAATCCTGCTGGGCAGAGGCCAGGCCTAATTAAGACCCTGAATAATGCCCAGCCCTTGTTTCTGGTTTTTTTTTTTTTTTTCCCCCACCAGGGATGCAGAATTAATAAGAGCCCAAGCAAACCATGAACCCTTCTGTTGGCAGAAAGGTCAGTAGCCACAGGGGGTCGGTCCTCAGGAGGGAACCAGGGTGCCCTGGATCTTGCAGAAGTGACAAAGCACGACAGAGGCTGGCTTGGCGGCTGCACTGATTTCAGGGCTGTGGGGAAGGTCCACTGCCCTAATGTGCCCACTCCCATCTGGCTGAAATTGGAAATTTCTTTAACAAGACACAAAGAGGTTCTATCTTAAAATTAGAAAGAATGCCTCAAATGACTCTGGCACGACAGTAGTCAGGGTACGCTGCTATTAGAGGGGCTTACTGCCTTGTGTCCAGGCCTGGGGTTCCAGAAGGACACGGTTCTGGCTCAGATTCTGCTGGTGAGCAAGCCTCTGTGTCCTCTTCGTGAAGTGAGGGGGAGTCTCAGTTTCCAGGAAATGCTCCTAAATGGCAGAGGAGGATACCTGTGTGCCTGTCAAAGGGTCTGGAGGCTTTGTCCAAGCAGCTGGCCCACAGGTGTAATTTCTTTGAAATGTAATATTTTATAGCTTTTAAATTCTATTGAGTGTGGTGTCCTCCTTCCTCTATGACTATATTTGTTTTAATAAAAAATAATGTTTTTCAACCACCTTTGGCTCACGTTAATAACCACGTAGAGCCTTCAGCTTACTTCCTGGGAGAAGGCCCAGCCTGGGTGGAGAAGCGCAGGGCATTGCTCTGGGAGAACACTCCCAGCTCGCACGGAGGCAAGAGCAAGTGGGCAGGGCGGGACCTGTGCCCCAGCTGGTGTATGCGTGTAACCGCTGGATGGGTTCACCTTGCCCACTGCCCAGACAGAGCTGACTTATCAAGACGGGGAAATCGCAAAAAAGAGTTTATTATACATAGAACTGTTACCGGAAAGGGGTCCCAATCCAGACCCCAAGAGAGGATTCTTGGATCTCACGCAAGAAATAATACATGGCAAGTCCACAGAGTATATTGAAAGCCTGTTCATTAAGAAAGTAGAAGAATAAAAGAATGGCTACTCCATAGACAGAGTAGCCCCAAGGGCTGCTGGTTGCCCATTTTTATGGTTATTTCTTGATGATATGCTAAACAAGGGGTGGATTATTCATGCCTCCCCTTTTTAGACCATATAGGGCAACTTCCTGGCATTGCCATGGCGTTTGTAAACTGTCATGGCGCTGGTGGGAGTGTGGCAGTGAGGAAGGCCAGAAGTCATTCTCATATCCATCTTGGTTTGGGTGAGATTTAGCCGGCTTCTTTACTGCAGCTTGTTTTATCAGCAAGGTCTTTATGACCCGTATCCTGTGCCAATCTTCTATCTCATCCTGTGACTTAGAATGCCTTAACTATCTGGGAATGCAGCCCAGTAGGTTTCAGCCTTATTTTACCCAGTCCCTATTCAAGATGGAATTGGTCTGGTTCACATGCCTCTGACAGAACTGGCTAAATGGGAGACTGGAGTTTTATTATTACTCAAATCAAACTCCCTGGAAATTTGGAGGCTAGGGTTGGTTTGTTTGTTTTTTTGAGAGTTTGGAATTCCGGGGGCTAGGAAATAGGGATTGGAGTTGGGTCAGGGATGGAATCAGGGATACTAAGTTGTCCTCTTGCATTGAGTCCATTCCTGGGTGAAGGCCACAAGACCAGATGAGCCAGTTGACCAGTCTGGGTGGTGCCAGCTGATCCACCAGAATACAGGGTCTAAAAAATACCTCAAACACCAGTCTTAGGATTTACACTAGTAGTGTTATTTATGGGAGCAACTGGGGAGGTTAGGAATATTGTGGCCTCTGGCTGCATGACACCTGAGCCATAATTTCTAATCTTGTGGCTAAGTTGTTGGTTTTACAAAGGTGGTCTGGTCCCCAAGCAAGGAGGCGGTTTGTTTTGGAGAGGGGCTGTTACTATCTTTGTTTGCTAAACTATAAACTAAATTCCTCCCAAAGTTACTTTGGCCTCTGCCCAGGAATGAACAAGGGCAGCTTGAAGATTAAAGGGAAAATGGAATCAGTTAGATCATTTTCACTGTCATAATTTTCTCATGGTTATAGTCTTTGCAAAGGTGGTTTCCTGAGTGGCAATCACAGAACCGGAGGTCCCAGCTCGAGCTTTCCTTCCTATTGTGAGGGGCAAGCCTTACATGTTCATTCCACTGGGAGACAGGGTCTAGAGGCCCACGTTCCCTCTGAGAGAGAAGTGACCAGGTCTTCACTAGCGCCGTTCAAGGGAGAAAGGAACCACATGGGCAGCAGAGGAGCTCACCCATCTCTGCTGCCCCCACAACTTTTCCTGACGTTGTGTGTGGTCACTATGTTAGATGGGATTATTCTACACGATTACATTTAAAGATCCTGATTCAAAGCCCATGCCATTTTTGAGGCATTTTCATTTAAGGGCTCTTTGTGGGGTTTTGCTCCATCCCCAACCAGGGCAACTGGTCACATCTTTGCATGCATAGGTCTCTGTTATAGCTGTCCCGTCGCCATTTCTCTCTGGTCACTTGGTCCCTCCCAAAAGTTGATTTTCTGATTTGTTGAACATATAGTTAGGGGCCTACATTAGACACGGTATATTTGTTCATTTACTCATTTGACAAACATTTTGTACTTAAAAAAAAATTAATGAGCATCAAAAGTCAGCATCTCACGTTTTCCTCTTGCCTCTATGGCCTGCCATCAGTGTTTCTATTTTAGGCCCTTGAAAGTGGTATCTACGTTATCAACGTTAAACTAGGCGATCGCTTCTTTGGCTACTTACAAATTTGTAAGATCAGATTCTCTGTCAGTGGTTCATAACCCCCAGGAGACAGTGGTGGTTGTGGAGACACTTTTGATGGTCAGGATCCGGGAAGGACTACTGGCATCTGGCAAGTAGAAGCCAGGGAAGCTGCTAAACAGGCTACTCGCACAGGACGGCCCCCTGCCACCCCCACGGAGAACTATCTGCCCAGATGTCAATAGTGCTGAAATTGAGAAACATATAGAAATGTTATACATACATATATAAGCATTCATTCATTCATTCATTCATATTTTGCCAAACACTTATTTTGAACCAGGAACATATACTATGTGCTGGGCTTTGCTTCTCCATGCACCTTCCCCTACGGTTGCCCCTGGAAGGTAGGGACTGTGTCTTAGTCACCTCTGCCCTCCTGGTGAGTCTTTGGGATTCTGACACAGCTATTCAGTAGATGTTTATTGAACGAATTGATTGTTTCCGTTTTCACAAGCTGCCAGTCACTGAGAAGAGGCAGATATTGGGAGTGGGGGCAAATGAGCTCTTCAGTGTCTGCCATGGTAATTTTAAAAATATCATTTAAATGTTTTTATTGTGAGTGCCTTTTATTTTTCTTTATTTTTCCTTTTTTTTTTTTTTTTTTTAGATTCATGGGGTCTATGTGCAGGCGTGTTAACGTGGCTGTATTGTGTGATGCTGAGGTTTGGGCTTTAACTAAACCCATCACCCAAATAGTGAACATGGCACCCAATAGGTAGTTTTTCAACTTTACCCTCCACCCTCCCTCCCCTTTTTTGGAATCCCCGGTGTCTATTGTTGCCATCTTTATGGCCACGTGTGCCCAATGCCATGTTAACTTTGAGATGCCCATGAGACATCACGTGGAGATGGTGGGCAGGGAACTCAGGGACAGGGCTGGACTGGGGACATAAATGTGGAAATCATCGGCATCTGAATGGTATTTAAAGCAAGGAAGTCACTAGGGATTGTGAGAAAAGAGTTGTTCCAGGGCCTTCCAGAGTCTAAAGATTGACGAGAGGATGAGGAACTCGCAAAGGAGACAGAGAAGAGGTAGCCAGTGAAGCAGAGAAAAGCCATGAGGAAGTCAGGGAAAGGCGTATCAGAAAGAAGCGAGAGATCCACTGTGCCCAGAGCTGCTGAGAGCAAAAGGGGTAGGTGTCGAGAAGAGAGCACTGGACTTAGCAGCATGATGGTCATGCTGTCCTTGACAGAGGCTTCTTTTGAGGGAAAGCCTCTTTCAGATGTTCAAGAGAGAATGGGAGGGTAGGGACTGGAGACAGCGAGTCTACAGCGGATGTGAGTTTCGATGTCAAATGTGAGTCAGTAGTTGGGGTGGGCTGTGGGGTCACCATGCTGTGTAGTTATCACAGAGTGCTGCTAGGCTTTTGGAAATGATTCTGTAGAGGGACTATTGATGGATGAGAAAGAGGGAAAACTGCTGGAGCAATACCTGGAGGATTTGAGAGGGGTGGGGACCAGGGCACCTGTAGAGGAGATGGTTCAGGATGGAGCAGGGATGGCGCATCGTGTAGGAAGAGGGTGCAGTGCGTGGGCACAGACCGGGAGGTGAGAATATGGATGTGCTCATGGCAACACTTAGAGGTTCTCCCAAACCTTCAGTTTTCACACTGAAACAGGAAGATGAGAGTGCGTTTGAGGGAGGAAGTGTAGGTGCTTTTAAGAGAGAGGGACAGGTAGGAAATCATCATGTAGGAGGATGTGACAGCAAACGGATAATGCTGGAAACTCCATCCCATATCTGATCACCTCTCCAGCTCCCTGGACATCATTACCTGGCCCCAGTCTCCCTGCCCCACCCCTGGCCTATTCTCCACAGAGAAGCAGTGATCTTTGTCATGCAGAAATCTTGTCGTGTCCCTCCCTTGCCCCAAATCCTCCAGTGGCTTCTCATCCAACTCAGTACAAAGGGAAAAGTTTTCCAAATGGCCTCCGAGGTCCCCCAAGGCCTGATTTCCTGTCCCCTCTGCCTCCCCCGACTTCTGCCAATCTCCCTGGCTGCCTGCACTCCTGCCGCACACCAAGAGTGCTCCTGCCCTGAGCATTTCTCCTCGGGGTGCCTTCGACCTGGAATGTTCTACCGTCGATGTCCTCATGGCTCCCCTCACTTCCTATAGGCCTCTGCTCAACTGTTCTTTATCCATGAACAAGGGCTGCTCTGACATCCCTACATAAGACAGCTGCCCCACTCCACTGCATGCCCCTGTCTTCTCTTCACTGCTGGGTTTTCCCACTTAGCACTTAGCACCATGCATTTACTTGATTATTGTCAGTCTCCTTCATTTAAAGGTGAGAGCCCTGAGAACACAGCCTCTGTTTTCTTTACTGCTGTTTTGAGGAATAGCATCTGGAAGAGCATCTGACACATACAGGCCACTGAACAAATATTGGTTGACTGAATGAGAGGAAAGAAGGATCAATGGGTGGGTGGGTGGGTGGATGGATGGATGGATGGATGGATGGATGGATGGATGGATTGCATGGATGAAAGGAAGGAAGGATAGATGGAATGAAGGAACGGATGGAGGGAGGGGAAGAGGAGGGTGAGTAGAATGAAGGATGAATGGATGGACAAATGGATGGGCGCATGAGTAGATGAATGGATGAATCGATAGATAGATTACAGTCATTGATTGATGGGTCATTAAGATATGACTACAATGAAGACATTCATTTCTACATGAGCAATTAACCCCCCTCCCAAGGAGGAATTTATAACAACAAATAAAACACAGAAACATATCTTACCCATTAAAAAGTCATTGGATGGATTTGTAGTCTAAACCTAGCAGAGTTGGGGACAAATTCTACACTCCCTGCTGCTCCAGGCGAAGGAAGAATGCCGCAGGAGCCTCTCTTCCCAGTGGAGACCTCGATGTGCACCTGTGTTCTCTTCCCTGCCAGGATCATTCCTATTTTTCTTATCCATCGGCCTGAGAACAATATCCCGTATGCTACAGTGGAGGAGGAGCTGATTGGAGAATTTGTGAAGTATTCCATCAGGGACGGGAAAGAAATAAACTTCTTGAGAAGAGAATCAGAAGCTGGTCAGAAGTGTTGCACCTTCCAGCACTGGGTGTACCAGAAAACAAGTGGCTGCCTCCTGGTGACGGACATGCAGGGTGAGGAGAGCAGCTTAGCCTGGGCTCCAGGGATGCTGTGGGCCAGAGACATTCCTGTGGGTGGAGAGGGAGGGGAAGGAGAGGAAGGATAGGCCTGCTGAGTACCTCTAAACACCTTTGCCTGCAGAAGGTGTTACTGATGCCTCATCAGAAATGAGATTCGATAACAGAGCCTGAAATGACCAGCCAGATGGCCATTTCATTTTATTTCTATTTAAAAAAATTTGGGGCGGGGGACAGGGTCTCACTCTGTCACCGAGGCTAGAGTACAGTGGCACGATCATAGCTTACTGCAGCTTTGAACTCCTGGGCTCAAGTATTCTTCCTGCCTCAGCCTCTAGAGTAGCTGAGACTGCACATGCATTCCACCACACTTGGCTAATTAAAACAATTTTTTTTGCAGAGACAGGGTCCTGGACAGTTTCCCAGCTGGTCTCAAACTACTGTGCTCTAGCGATCCTCCCACACTGGCCTCCAAAAGTGTTGGGATTACAGGCATGAGCCACTGTGCCTAGAGTTCATTTCATTTTAATAATTCATGCCAATAATGCCTTCCCATTACAACAGGTAACCAGAGAGTGGCTTTACTGTTATATCCTCAATAGGCCTAGACTCAGCAATATATACCCAAATCCAGATCTACCATAAGATAAATTAAAATGTAGTATTCCATTCTCAATAGACAAAAGAGTCTTTAGAATGCTTTAGATTTTAAGCTCCTCTGCTGAATGTATAGCATGTTTTCAATATATACACAACTGTTTAGGAATACCATTTCTTCTGTGGAATGGAGATGTCATCATTAGGCTTCCCCTAAGACAGACCTGAGACAGGTACTCATGTGCAAATGGCTTATTTGAGAGGGGATCCCAGGAAACACCAATAGAGGAGTAGGGAAGTGCAACTGGGGAAGGAAAGGAGGCTGGTGGAGTATGTTATTATTAGCCAGTGACTGCCATGGGTGCTGGAGCTGACATCTGCGGGGAGCCCTGCAGAGCACACTTCTCAGTGAGGGAGCCGGGGTGTGTATGCACCAGCTACCAGGATCACCAGCTGGCGGCTGCTCCGGGTGGGGGCATTACTTCCCCTGCACCTGTCACCTGCCTACACGGGCAAGCTAAGCTGGATAAAAAACATGATCAGAGAAAGTTCTTAGGCAGAGAAATGCTGGTGTGGCACTGAGAAGTGGAGCCAGGTGCACAGAAGTGGTTAGGGTGAGGGCAATAGGTAAGGCACCAGCAGCTTCTGCCGCAAGAGTTTCCCTATTTCCGTTTGCTATTAAGAAAATCTGAACTGTATTATTGTCTATCTACCAAATGTCAGACATTGTCCCAGATGAGGATCTCAAGCTCTAGCTATTACATGGTGTTGAAGAGCAAGACCACCTTGGGGTTCTGTTCCCTGCACTGCCACTTCCAACCTGGTAGCCTGTGAGCAAATTACCTTTCTCCCTGCTTCAGTAACCTCCACACAGGGTTGTTTTGAGAATTAAATGAGATAGTAAACCACTAATTGCAGCATTGCCACATAATAAATGGTTCCTATTTTTTTAACTCATTTTTTTAAAATTTGTTTGAGACAGGGTGTCACTCTGTCACCCAGGCTGGAGTGCAGTGGTGCAAACACAGCTCACTGCAGCCTCAATCTCCTGGACTCAAGTGATCCTCCTGCCTCATCCTGCCATGTAGCTGGGACCACAGGAGTGTGCCATCACACCTGGCTAATTCTTTCACGTGTGTGTGTGTGTGTGTGTGTGTGTGGAGATGGGGTTTCACTTTGTTGCTCAGGCTGGTCTTGAACTCCTGGACTCAGTTGATCTTCCTGCCTCAGCCTCCCAAAGTGCTAGGATTACAGGTATGAGCCACTGTGCCCCAGCCTTTAGTTTGAAATAATTATAGACTAGCAAGAATTTGCAAAAATATATGGAGTGGTTCACATGTACGCTTCACCCAGCTTCACCTAATGGTGACATCTCACATAAGTATAGTATATTATCAAACCAAGAGATGGACACTGGCAGAATATAATCAACTACACTAAAAACTTTACTTGGATTTCATCAGTTTTTGTATCCATTCATTTTTTTCTACTATTTTTACTTAATCTTCATAATAACCCTGCAGAGAAAATATTATGATCCCCATTTTACAGATGAGAAAACTGAGGCCTGGAGACCGTGATTTAATTGTCTGCTGTCACTCAGCTAGTAAGTAGAGGGGTCTAAGACTCCAACCCGCATTTTCTGACTCTGAATTCCAAGCTCTTTCCACAAATAACAAGTTAGCAAATTTACAAGATATTTACTTCCAGACCTTTCCAAGTCTCTCCTGATGTAAGAAGGCTCTGGTATGTGTACTGTTCTTCCTCCTAAGCCCTTGGAAGGACTCCTTGCAGGCCATCTGGGAAATGCAATATTACTGCCTTGCAGATGAAGCCAATCTGCAAATTTAAGTCAGACTTTGCTCTTTGAAGAGACTGCTGCCACACACACACACACACACACACACACAAAATATATGTTCTTAACAGACAGCTGTTTGTTCTATTTAGACTCTGGCTGTGCAATTGCTGCTGTCCCCCATCTTTTCTCCATGGGAATTAATTTTGTATTAAATATAGCTCTTCTGTTGAAAAGCAGCACCCAGGGCTTCGTGCACAGTTAGTTTCACTTCCAGGTACTGGTAAACAACAGTAATGGAATATCACATCTCTCTGTAAATGATGTGCATGGTTTAACATGGTGGTGTGGTGTTAAGTAATGGTGTTTATTTACTCTCTATTGACGGACAAAAAATATTTTTACTGTCATTGTCATTGTGGCATGAGACAGCACATCTATTCTCTAAGGCAACTCAACTTTTTATAATTTTACAGAGACACTGGAATTAGAATTAAACTCAAATTCTATCACCACCTGTTTGGACTTTTAAAAGTTAACTCTTCCTGGCTGCATTTGCTTGTTTAGAAGATTGTGCCAGGTTTGCGGGGTAAAAGATGAGCCTGTGATTTGGACCTGAGACCTGCATACTGGTGAGACTACCAGGTTTTCTAACAAGCTGTCACCCAAAACACTCAAGACCTCGCATTCTGGAGAATGAACTTCTAATGCTGTTCATTTCCTATCTTCTATTAGAAACAACCTGTAGATTACTGTTATCTCCAACTCAGCTTGATAGCTGCACACTAGGATTTAACTTTAGCCTCTAGAGGTTCTTAATAACCTTGACAGAATTGCAGGCAAATTATTAAACTGAGAGAGGGAAGTTTTCTTTTAAAAATTATATTCTGTCTTTCTAAACTGTAAGTGACAGCTGGTAATTGTGGGAAACAAGGGAAAGCAATTCTCCAAGTTCAAAGACCTTTTGCCAAATGACTTTTTCAAATTGGATTTCCATGTGGCTTACAACTGTAATTTTAAAATACAATTTTCCATGAAATAAGATGTCCAGTGAGAGCTTTTGCAATTTGGTTGTTTTTTTTTTCAAAGCATAGTCCCTGTAATAGAAGCTATGTGAACCATTTCTACATATGTTTGAGTTATTAGCAGCTTTGAAAGAATGAGATGAATTAGTGACCAACTGCAAAAGAGACTTTTAAAATGGTCACTGGTTCTCCCAAAGTGCCGTGTCTAATGTAGCTCAAAGGTGCACTCTGTCTGACTAACCAGCCTGAATCCCAACGTGTCCTGTGTTTTTGCCATGCTCCCAGCGGATACCGCTGAATCAGAGCATTAACTCTTTAGCTGTCTTTTCCTGGGCCTCAGAAGCAGTACTCCACATGGGTGCAGAACCATGGAGTAGGTGGCCAGCAGATCTGATCCTCATGGTTGGCTTTAGCGGGATGCTGAGTTTCTTTCCTTTCCACAGCCCAAACTGGTTTCTAGGCTGCCAGGGCCCTCCATGGGCAAGTCACTTGCTGGAGGTGGGGAATGCCAGTGCTCACAGCCTGGCCCATGGGGCCCAAGACACAGGGACAAGAGCACGGGAGGCAGGACCCAGGCATCTAGCAGGTGCAGATGCACTAGTGGGGTGGCACTATGGGCCCTGGGATAAAATGTCATCACTAGATTGCATGGGTAAGGTCCTGGCAGAGGTCCACTGCATTGGAGCAAGTGCCCATAGCCTCACTCTAGGGAGACAGGAGTGGAATTGGTACATGGTCAGGGCGTGGAGATTCTGGAAAGGCCAAGAGGGAATCCACACTCTGGGCATCAGGGAAGTGCTTTACTTTCCACTAGACCTGGGAGAGGTTCAGGATGCAGGCTGAGACTGCGGGTAGAGTGAGCGAGGGTGGCGCTCTCCACTACAGAAGGGGATGGCAGCTCTTGTCGTTCCTTACGGTGGAAGACAGTGGGATGGTCTATTCCCTTTGCCTCCCTGGCTGCCGAGCTACCCTCCCTACCCCTCCTGCTGGAAAGGCAGATGAGAAAAGGCTTCCATATGCTTGCGATGGGTGCCTGTTGCTCTTTGCTGAACCAGAGTGGGAAGCTCAGGTAGCTGTTCTATTGTTTTGGTTTTGGTATGCCCCACCTACCCCCACCATGGTTTAGCGGGTAGCATTTAGGATGAGCCCAAGGACCACATGTTCCAAATGTCTGCTTCCCCAGGCCATTGGTTCAGCATCTACATAGAATTCAAGATTGTTTCCTGGGGCCTAACACTGACCACCCAGAAAACCTTCAGTCCTGGATTGAAAAACGATCTTTATGGAAATGAGAAATCACGCATCTGAAGTTTGACTTTCAACTAAACACGTGCCCCTTGAGCCCTGTGTTAGTTCATTTTCACACTGCTGATAAAGACATACCCAAGACTGGGTAATTTATAAAGAAAAAGAGGTTAATGGACTGATAGTTCCACGTGGCTGGGGAGGCCTCACGATCATGGTGGAAGGCGGAAAGCACATCTTACACTGCGGCACGCCAGAGACACAATGAGAGCCAAGGGAAAAGGGAAAGCCCCTTATGAAATCATCAGATCTCCTGAGATGTATTCACTACCATGAGAACAGTATGGGGGAAACCGCCCCATGACCCATTTATCTCCCACCGGGTCCCTCTCACCACACTTGGGAATTGTGGGAGCTATATTCAAGATGAGATTTGGGTGGGGACATGGCCAAACCATGTCAAACCCTCTAGCTATTGGCATTGACCATCCCAGGCCATGACTACTCTTCTTTCCACCATGTAAGGGTTTCTACTTTCATTGAAGAATGGGGAGCCAGACCTAAGCCGAAGTCAGAGTATTTCTGGGGAGAGAGCTTACGGGGCAAGCATTAGGCCTCAGATTTTTTCAGAGTGGCCAGCTCCCTCCTTGTCATGGGGTGGGTGGGCCAGGCAGGCAGAGGACTTCATTTCTGGAGCTGAGGTGGCTTGGGCTGTCTGCTCACATGAGACTTGAGTCTCCCTAACTGCTGCCTTCCCCATGGTCCCTGCCTAAAGCTGGATGCGTATTTGAAAGAGGCCTCAGGTGTTTGTGCAGGAAGGGGAAGGAGGAGGAGCTATCATTACCCCTTCCCTGGGCTAGAGACCCATCTTTCTGAGGGACCCTGAGTAACATAAACTCCCATCTTTGTTTTCTCTTCCTGTAGGTGTCGGAATGAAGCTAACGGACGTTGGCATAGCAACGCTGGCTAAAGGGTGAGTAGGAAAAAATAGAGTGTGCATCATTTAACACTGGGCTTACGGACACCTTCCAGGCAGACACTGTCAGGCTGAGGTGGGCGAAGTGAATTTCTTGACCTAACTGCAGATGACAAATGTTCTTGGGATGAATTCATTTCTCTCACTTACATAAAATATTTATGGACTTTGTTGTCACAGGGGAGCACGTTTGTTTCTTAACTTTGAAACAAATGAGAACTCTTGCAGACACATTTCAAGATTAATAACCAATAGGAGTACCATGGGGAGAAAATGCTGGCATTATTTGGATGCTTTTTAACTGGAATATTCCATTCTTTTACATTTAATATCTTCACTATTAAAAGCTTCTTTGAAAAATATGTTTTTGCAATTGAATGTAGTGAATTCAATTTGTATATTTCAAATTAATTTTTCCCCTAAAAGGACTTTAGGCAGCTCACAGACCCCCATGATGATAATCATAGGAGGCAACGTCTCTGGCAGAGCTGTGATTAGTTACCTGTTTTTGATGATGGCTTTATTTTTCTAATATAAAGTGGTGCTTTGCTTAGTGTGAGGCACACACAGAAGATGATGCTATGATCACATTTTACTGGGGTGTCTTTTTAACAAGCTGCCCCTTCCCACTTCTTTACCTGACTGCCAATGAGGAGAAAGCCAGTCATTTGTGGTTCTTGGTGAAGATGCAATTCCGTGTTGGAACCGCCGTTGCCTTTGCCCACTCCTGCTCTTCCTGTGTACTGAGACCGTCTGTAAGGGGGAGGAAAAGAGTGCTCATGACTTTTGGAAGGGATGGCTTCCATTTCAAAATGTAGGTTTTATTAGTATGAGGTACGGTAAGGTCAACAGATCAGGAGACAGTTGCCATTGAAAAGCTAGTTTGTTACTCACAGCTCCCAAGAGGGGGCACCACACCACCAGGGGCCACGCTGGGAAGCACCAGGGCCAGTAGGGGGGTAGAGGAAGTGAGGGGAAAACACAGGCAAAAATATTATGGTTTATTCAGGAAGGAATAGGTGAGGGAGGATAAACAGGTCTGGGATTGGCTAATTTGACATTTTCCAGCAGTCTCTGGGACACAGGGCTGGCCCTAGTGTCTGGTACCCGCACTGGGGTGATTAGGGCAGGTGGATAGTGGCCCCAGTATGAGAGTCCACAGAGGAGGTATTAGGGGTGTGGCTCTGGATTGGTTGGTTTGCATATATATGAAAGGCTCTCTGGAAGGTGATCATTTACTATCTCTAGGAATATGCAGCCCTGAGAGGAGTAGAGTCTCTCCAGGGCCAGTAAGGCCTAAGATGTCAAAGCATCAGAAACACAGAAAATAAAGTGGTGGGATGAATCCAGCTTACTTTCCCAAGGCTGAGAACAACTTATCCATGGGAGCTTTCTGGTCACTTCAGACCATCAGTGTCAGCCACAATCCAACAAATATGCTAACTTTCAGCTTCATTAAAGGACAGAGAGAAGTAGAGGGATCTGAAAAAGTAGGAAAGGAATCGCTCTTTCTTTTAACCTCCAGGTCAGTAAGCCTGATTCATGAAGTTCTTGCTGATTGCACAAAGCTTCCAGTTGGGTTTTAGAACCAGGATGCGGTTTGGACCTTTTCCCTGCGGTGGCTCAGTGATGATGAAGTTTTATGTTGGAATTGTCTCCAGGCTTCTCCCCCATGCTCACCGGAGACCTGGCTGGCATACACTTCAGGGAATTGGGCGTGTCCTTGGGCTTGTGAAGAGAGCATGTTAGGAGGGGTTATGATGAAGTGGGGAGGAAGGAACGAGGTATTTAGAGCGAGACCCAGTTCATACTGTGATGCTGCTGCTTCTGTTTCTCCTGATAGTAAGTAGCCTTGCTTCTCGGCATCGTAGGAATGTGCCTAGCCTACCTGATGAGGGGGATGAACGTCTATCCCAGTTTTCCCATGATGGTACCATTTTATGCCTGAGGTCCTCACATCCCATACACTTTAGCATTTATCCTGAACAAGTGTACCCATTTAGAAGATAAATTATATGGTGCCCTATTTATGGAGGCTTCTGGACCCCAGAAGGATTTTCCAAATGGAGACTTCCTTTCCAGGCTCCATGTGCTCTACAGAACCTTACAGATGCAAGCATCAGTCAGCCCTAGTTTGAATCCTGGCTTCTCGTCATACCAGCTGTGTGACTGTGGGCATATGACTAAGTTCTTAAAGGCAGTGATGTACAGGATCGGGACACTCCGACTTGCCCTGAGTATTCCACCAGTTAATCTACACCTAGCCCCTGAAACTGGAAGTGAGCTAGATAAATACTAGTTTCCCTTCCCTCCTCATGTCTTAGCCTGACACTAGAGTAGGCAAATTTCATGCTGTTATTTAGAACAGCTCTCTACCAAAACAAAGAAACCTGCCCAAGAAGTTTCAAAAATGAAGATGGTCGTGATTATTCAAGACATCTTTTAAAAGCAAGTCAACAGCTTCCAGGAACCCAGACCAACTGGGAGCTTCAAATGGTATATATTTTTTTTCTCCTGATTGAAAAAGAAATCCAATCCTTTGGTTTTGTTCTCAGCTTTAATATGACTTATCTGGCCTGGGACAGCTGCCCAAGACCCATTAGAAGCGCTGATGGCTGGAGCCCAGTGCAGAATGCTGTCTATAAAGTATTACTTACTTATTGCCTTCCCACCCAAGGAGAGGCCAGGGAGCAGGAGCTGGGAGAGGAGGAGATTCTGAAGTGTTTGAGAGCTTTGGCAAGGATATTAGATCTTCTTTTCCTTTGTTTTTTAAAAACTTTTCTTTAAGCTTTACCTTTTAAGCCACAGGTTTTTTTCCCTCCCAAAAGAAATATATCTTAGAATCACAGTTTGAAAAACGGATGAAAAGGGAAAACTTCTCCAAACAGAGCATAAGGGGTGGTTGAGAGACCTCCTGGGAACCCCTCTGGAGTGGAAACCAGTGATCAAGTCCGACTTCCTCACTTCACAGGTGAGGAGGCATGGGGTATGGGGCAGCCTGCTTACAGGCAGGAGTCAATAAATCTTTCCTGCTTGAAGTTAGCACCCCAAAGTGAAGGGCAGATCCTCAATGCTGGGAGGCCGAGGCACAATTGAAAAAGTTCTCCAGTGAATGTCAAAGCTGCAAAAGGGAGCTAGATCATGAGAACAGACTTGGAAAGGGCTCAAGTTCAATGGCACTTTGCAGACAGGAAAGTCCAGGTGGGAGGCAAATGAGCCAGGGGAAGAAAGGAAGGCGAGCATCACAGACTGCAGAGAGCAAGAGAGAAGATGGAAGAATAAGGGTTGATTGGGCAAGTTCTCTCGATTCTTAGCAAGCAACTGTGCGTGAGCTTAGTTCATTCATGATGCAAAGGGGCAGTCGCAAGTTCTATGGCGGAGCTAGTACCTGGCAGGGCTCAGCTGGGGGAATAGCACCATCATAAGAAGCAGTGCTCTGTGTGTCATTAAAAAAAATATTCCCATATGTCTCAATCAGGACCACATATTTGGCTGCTGACACCCCAGTCATGCATGGTCCTATTTCAGGAGTAATTAGTCTTAATCTCGTCAAATAAAATAGAGAATTGTCATGACTTAATCATTTTAATTCAACTTTACTTCGTTGTATGTTCCTTACAACAGGAGTATGTCATATTTCTCTTGGGAGCCAGAGATATAAATATGTCTGGAAGCACATCCCCTGTACCTCAGCCACCTCAATCTTTTGGCAAATGTTGGGTACAAAAATTTCAGGTTACAAAGTATGGCAAGTAAGACTGTCTTGACATCCAGTAATCCATTTTCTAGACAGACCAAGATACTAACTGGACCATTGAACAAATTTCTGATTGGAAATTACACAAGGAAAAAATGCCTAATTTTATAACTGGAGATGTGGAAGCGTAACCTAACCAACTCCAGACCGATCTAAAGCCACCCAGGCAGAGGAGCCGACCTGCAAACTCATGCTTCTCTCCAGCCAGTGGGGGAGTTCCTGGGGCAGGCGACGAGATTGCAGTTCAACCACCAGAGGGCACCAGAACCAATACTTTGCCCTTTGTAGTCTCCCCTAAAAAGCCAGTTTCCGGTTGCCAGATTGAAATAAAACAAAGTACCATTAGCAGATTTCTTCCCTGGCAGTAAGCATTGGACCAAAATAAGATTAATATGGACAGCCATAAAGGGCACCCCTCAGAGCAGCTGCCAGCCAGCCTTGCATCTTTCCACCCTTGGAAGAAGGAACGATGAGACTTAAGGATGAGTGTCATGTGTCAGGCGTCCCTGACATGGAAGCCAAATTCCCGAGACCCTGAACAGAAGCCTGGATGATTCATTCACGTAGCAGGAGGAGAGCTGCCTTGAGAAAGCAGGCTCCACTGGCGTCTGTGTGCCTAGCTCTGATCCTGGCCATGAAAAGGAGAAAAGATCAAAATAGACTCCCACACTCGGTCAAGCTGAGTTCCAAAAGAAAGGCTCTGCCCTCAATGCCCACAAGCAGGTGGAGGGGACGGCAGCCACCTGGGATGCTTTGCCCAGTCACAAGGCTGAGACATCACCATACCTGGAGAGGAAGAGCCAAAACAAACCTGGAGGTGGGAAGAAACAATCTAATCCAAAGAAACACGCCCCAAGAATAGGCTTATGTGCATGAGTGGTGACTCTAGGCAGAGTATTTAAAGCAATGCATGAGTCTGCCAGGAGAAGAAACAAAGGGACATTGGAACAGAATTCCTGATGCCTTTTAAGTATGTCATAGCAGGGCCTTGTCACTGTAGAACACCAAACATTTCAGCCAAGTCCCCAATGCCAGGCATCAGCAGACCAGTCTCACAGGCCTGTCGGCTTGAGAAAGGCAATTTTATGCCCCAGATAGCTCCTCTCCCCGCCTGCCCCATGGTCACCTGTCCTAGAAGGTCGTCTGCATCCCATCTTCATCGGGTCAGGCTATTCTGTAGTGGGACCGACTGGCCTGCTGGCTGATTTATGTGGCCAGTCTTTGCCATTAAGGAAGTCTGGAGGCTGAAGGGAAGTCTGAAGGGAACAGTGGTGATTTTTGCAGTTTTTGGCAAGGCAGATCCTACTATAAGCAGTGCTCTCAGTGTGTAGGGGAGTCTCTCAGGCCCAACAGAGCCAGCCAGGACACGCCCCCTTCATGGAGGGACTAACACAGCAGTCTCCTGGCCTCTGCCCAGAAGTCTTACAAAGGACAGTTCTGTTGAAGTGTCTGGAATTGGGAGCCACGGGTTCCTCCCACTCCTGACCCTATTCCCTAGTTGTCCCCCTGCCCAGTCCATTCCCAGGACCTGAGGACTCAGGGACAGATGCTGCATTGCTTGTCATCCAGCTTCAGAGATGAGTCTGAACAGAGAGAACGTCTAGAGAAGCCTGGTAGATTCGAGATCACCCCTGCAAGACAAACTGGTGGCCAGTAGGAGGGAGACAGAGGCACAAGGCAGGTGCAGGGATGGCCGAGAAGGTCAGGGGTGACAGAGCCTGAGCAGACAGGACAGGGTGAAGACCAGAATAGACAAGAAAAAAGTTATCACTGCCTTCAGGAACGTCTAAGCCAATGCGGTGTCACCAGGTGGGAGCCCGGTGATAGATCAGAGAGGGAATGTGCTGCTAAGATGCCAGCAACTAAACAAGTTTGTCCACAAAAGACAAGGAAAAGTCTAGAAGGTAGCTAGAAAAGGAGGTGTGGGGAATGTGTGTGTGTGCGTATATGTGTCTGTGTGCGTGTCTTTGTGTGTCTGCCTTTGTGTGTGTGTGTGTGTACGTGTGTGTCTCTGTGTATATCTGTGTCTGTGTGTGTCTTTGTGTATCTGCCTCTGTGTGTGTGTGTGTGTGTGTGTGTGTGTGTGTGTGTGTCTAAAGAGACCCTGCCTGATTGAAGGCAGAGGGAAAGGAGCCTGTGGGAAAAGAGTGAGGAACGAACTGCGGAGTGATGTTCCAGAGTAGTGGGCATCCCTCGTGAGGATTCAGAGCTTGTCAATATGGAAGACGCTGCAGCCCTCACTGTGCAACTTGGAGCACGCTGGAAATGTGGCTTTGCCTCTACCCACCCTCACCTCCACCAGGGCGTCAGCCCAGCTGCTCCTCCGAATGGTGAATTCTCGAACAGCCTGTACCTAGTGGGAATGCTGGCACACTTCTCCCTCATCTCAACGCCTGCCCTGTGGCCCTGCAGAGGCTCCTGTAACCGCCCTCCAGGTTCTCCTTGCCTGTATGCCTAGACAGGACATGGCCGATTTATCAAGATAGGAATTGCAACACAGAAAGAGTTTAATTCATGTAGAGCCAGGTGTATGGGAGACTGGAGTTTTAATATTACTCAAATCAGTCTCCCTGAAAATTTGGGGGTTGGCGGTCGGGAAGTAGGGGTAGTGCTGATTGGTCAGGTCGGAGATGAAATCGTAGGGAGTCAAAGCTGTCGTCTTGCGCTGAGTCAGTTCCCAGGTGGGGGCCACATGACTACATGAGCCAGTTTATTGATCTGGGAGGCGCCAGTTGATGCATCAAGGGCAGGGTCTGAAAAACATCTCAAGCTCCAAGCTTAGATTTTACAATGGTGATGTCATCCTTAGGAGCAACTGGGGAGGTTTAGAACCTTGTAGCCTCCAGCTGCATGACTCTTAAACCGTAATTTCTAATCTTGTGGCTAATTCGTTAGTCCTGCAAAGGTAGTCTAGTTCCCAAGCAAGAAGGGGATTTGTTTTGGGAAAGGGCTGTTACGGTCTTTGTTTCAAAGTTAAACTATGAACTAAGTTCCTCCCAAAGTTAGTTTGGCCTCTGCCCAGGAAAGAACAAGGACAGCTTGGAGGTTAGAAGCAAGAAGGAGTTGGTTAGGTCAGGTCTCTTTCACTGTCCCAATTTTCTGAGTTATAATTTCTGCAAAGGTGGTTTCACTCCCATTTGCAGATAAAAACCAGCACAGTCCTTTGGGAATTAGAGCTCTGGGGCTTAGGACAGTGGGTGAATCTCAGGTTGCTTATTTGGTGAATGGCTATGTACAACGATCCCTCCTGGGTTCTTTGTCTTCAACTCCAGTTTGCATTTCACATACTAAGGAATGGACTGTGTGCCTCCTGCATATTCATGGAGATGGGACTCACGTGACCTCAAAAACGGACGCATAGTAGATGAGTGCTTCTCCCCCTCCCCTGGGCTCCTCTCTGAGCTCTCTTCTTCGGGACTCCTGTCTCACAGAACCTCCTGGTTGAGGGTGCCATCAAAAGCGAAATGCAAATGTACAGGGATTCTAGAATAGGTTGCCATCTGACACAGAGATCAGACTCATTGAAGGTGGGGCACTTCTGTCCTCCTCTCCCTGTCATTTTTCTGCAGAAGGAGGGAATTTTTGTATTCTGCTTTTTATTTTTTTCCAGCCAGGGAGGCTATGAGGGAAGATAGGGCCAGGACTTGGTTTCTGTTGGGGTAGCTGGGACTGTGGCTTCAACTGAGGACTGAGGGAGCAGCCATAGCCCTGGGCAAGAAGGGCAGAGAGTGCCGGGAAACAAGGGGAGGGGCTAGACTTTGTTCAGAGGGAGATGGGGTCATCCAAGCAGTTGCTTCACCATGACATGATCTGACCTGCACTCACCTGGACAAGGTGGAAAGCAGGGGAGAATTGCCTGGAGGCTCCTCTGACTGGCCCAGGGAGGGGCAGTGGTGGCTGAGATGGCATTTTGTTGAGATCAGTTGCTGAAGGTCACCTGCCCCAAGAGAAGGTCACCTTGTAGATATCCTCAGGGGACAACTTCCCTAGAAAACACAGATCTGGTTATGCTACCACATCCCCACCCTCAAAAACTCCATGAATTTTTAAAGTGCTTTTCAAAGTAATTATGTGAAACAAGATTTCTGTTGTCAAGCAACTTTGGGAAACCCTGGGTTGAATAAGTTTAGGGGGTTTCCTTTTTTTCTTTTTCTTTTCTTTTTTTTTTTTTGAGACGGAGTCTCATTCTGTCACTCAGGCTGGAGTGCAATGGCACGATCTTGGCTCACTGCAACCTCTGTCTCCCGAGTTCAAGCCATTCTCCTGCCTCAGCCTCCTGAGTAGCTAAGACTACAGGCACACGGCACCACGCCCAGCTAAGTTTTGTATTTTTAGTAGAGATGGGGCCAGGATGGTCTCAATATCCTGACCTCATGATCCACCAGCCTCGACCTCCCAAAGTGCTGGGATTACCAACATGAGCCATCACGCCCGGCCAGGAGGCTTCTTTAGTGTGAGACTTCATAGAGTCTTTAAAGAGCTGATGTGTATTTTGAATGTCCTAGGGACAAGGAAAGATATTATTATTATTACGATTATTTTGAGACAGGGTCTTTCTCTGTTGTCCACGCTGGAGTGTAGAGTCCTGATCACGGCTCACTGCTGCCTGGAACTCCTGGGCTCATGTGATCCTCCTGCCTCATCCTCCCAAGTAGCTGGAACTGCAGCTACTTAAGATGGGAATTGCAACACAGAAAGAGTTTAATTCATGTAGGGCCAGGTGTTAAAAAAAACACACCCAGCTATTAAACACACCCACCACACCCAGCTATTAAAAATTTTTTTTGTAGGAGTGGGGTCTCACTATGTTGCCCAGGCTAGTCTCGAAATGCTGAGTTTAAGCAGTCCTCTCTCCTTGGCCTCTCAAAGTGCTGGGATGACAGGCGTGAGCTACCTCCCATACCAAACCTAGGAGAGATATCATATAGCGTTTCTCACAGCATTTACACCACAGAATTTCAAAGACTCCTGTGGGACTGTTGCTCATGAGAACGTATTTTGGAAACCAGTATGTCACAGGAGAAATGGCACAGCATGGCTTTGAAACCTTTTCACATATCCTCTGACAGCATCTCCCCTCAGAATGCCTGCTCTTGCTCAGAACGTGCCTCTGAACCTTACCATGCTGTTCCCTCTGCCAGATGAACCCCAAGCTGTCTTTGATCTAGGAAATCTTGTAGGAATCTGCTCAGGAGTGTGAAAATGGCACCCTCCGGGTTTCCACAGAACTTCCTCCCACTGAGATGTGACAGCTTGCTCCAAGATGGCTGCTTTTGGGAAAGTGCCACGCTGCTTATTAATTAATCCCTTTTAGTTCCCCTACGGTGTTTGGCACACAGCTGCTGCCTGATCAATGAAGAAATCAATGAGTACACATGAAAAATGAGGGGTATGAGTGGCACTTCAGGAATCTCTTGCTGTTTCCAGGTGGAAACAGCTCCCCAGTGTCCCTCCCTTTCCGCACAGGTGACAGTCTGTTCTAGCAGAGCCTAAGTCCAGCCTGGCTTTATTTTACACACATCACAAGTCAGACTAGGGCTTTGTTTCAATTCTTCACCCCCATCCTGACCTCGAATTCCTTGTCCTCGTAGCCATTCCCTCTGCATGAAAATTTTCTTCAGAAAAGATCTCAAACTCAAGGTGTTCAACGCATCTTCTGGTTGGCATCTAATGGGTTACCAAAGTGCAGGAAAACTTCTCAGTAGGTTTGCCTTGCCTGTCTTCATTTCCTTTATTAAGCCAGCCAAGAACTTTGGTTTCTCCAACTCAGCCAGGGCTGGAAGTTTCTGTGACTTTCTTCCACCCCTGCTCTCCAGGTGTTTTTGGAGCCAATACGTTGTCCAGCAGGGTTGTGAGCAGATCCCAGAGAGAGAGCAGTCACCCTGCTGCTATCAGTTGGTGATTTCTGTGTGAGTCTGAAAGGCTATACCATTCATTATTAGGATGAGAGGAGAGAGAAATTGTTTTCAAGCAAGACATCAGCCTGGCACAGTTTCTAACACATAGCAAATCTTGAATAAATCTTTGTTGAGTGAGGGCAGGACTGTAGAAACAGCCTCCATAGCTCCTCCCCAGGTGGGATGTGTCAGTGTGACTTTGTCAGGTTGTTTGACACTAACTTCATAAACATAAGATATACTTGTGTTCCAGTTTAAAGACATTTCCAAAGTCAAATAGGGATGAGTGTAGATCACTGAACACTTTGAGTAGTTTATCTCCTTGTTGCTCAAAGGAGAGGGGGTCCCTGGACCAGTGACATCAATACCCCCCAGAGCCTGGTAGAAATGCCAGAACCTTCCACCCCACTCTAGACCTACTGAATCCAAATCAGCATTTTAACAGGGTCTCGAGGTCATTCGTAGGGACCACTCTCATCCAGGGGGGAATATAGTTGAGAAAAGACTATACTGAATGCTGTTCATATTTGGTTTTTGTTTTGTAGAGATAGGGTCTCACTATGTTGCCCAGGCTGGTCTTGCACTCCTGGGCTCCAGCGATCCTCCTGTTTCAGCCTCCCAAAGTGCTGGGATTACAATGCTGTTGAGTGGAATAAATTTAGTGTTCCAATTCTGGAGATTGTGAGAGAGGATGGATAGATTCACATCCGATGGATAGATTCACATCCAAGTGACAGGTGAAAAAATTGTACTAATTAGAGGTTAAGGATAAAAAGACCCATTTAGTAAAATTCAATAAAGTTAAGATTTTTAAAAATGAAAATATTTGAAAAAGATCTCAAATACAAGATTCTTTATTCCATTGTGTTAGATTCCTAGGGCTGCCATAACAAATGACCATGAACCAAGAGCTTCCGATGACAGAAATGGATTGTCTCACAGTTCGGGGGGCTGGAAGACTGAAATCAAGTTGCTGGCAGGGTTGGCTCCTTCTGCAGGATCTGAGGGAGGGTCTGTTCCATGCCTCTCCCCTGGCTTCCAGGTTTGCTGGCAATCCTTGGAGTTCCTTGGCTGATAGACGCATCTCTCTAACCTCTGTCTCCAACATCACATGGTATTCCCCCTGTGTGTCTCTGTCTTTTGTCATCTTCTTATGAGATACCAGTAACAGTGGATTGAGGGCCTCCCCTGCTCCAGTGTGACCTCATTTAAGAAATTCCATCTGTAATGACGTGATTTCCAAATAAGGTCACATTCTGAGGTTCTGGGAAGGACATGACTTTGGGGATGGGGTGGGCAAGGATGCTACTCAACCCCCTACATCTATCCAACATGAAAAGGATAGTGAGTTTCTGCAATGACGATCCTGTTGGAGAGATGTCCTGCAGCTCCAGATTCAATCCTCGAGGGAGCGGGTGGCACATGTCACATGCAAGGTGGGTCACAAGCAGGGAAACCTCCATTTCCCATTGCTTGGGTAGAGGAGAGCTTAACGTCATTGAATTCATGTCCTTTGAATGAATCTGGAATAATCAGTCTAAGAACACAAAGGGTGTTGCCCTATTTTTCTTCTTGGGCAAGGGCAATGGCCTTGGTGATGGCTGTCAGTTTGTGAGAACAATGGGTCAAAGCAGCAGCCCAACATCCTGGCTGAGACAGAGACCAAATTGAGAAAGGAGGAAGATTTGTAATTTCTGTAAATGCTAGGTAGCAAAAAAAAATCTGCACCTGAGAAAGCTAGGGAAAGGGAAGTTCAACATTGTCTGACAGGCCAAGGTGAGGGTCGAAAATTAGAGAAAGAGATGTTCAGAAATGTGATGTGGAGACAAGAGTAGGACCAGGACTAGGTAGTGCTGAGGATGGGGCTGGTCCCCATTTATTTGTTCCCTCAACATTTATTGAAAAACCTCCCCTGGACAGGAGTTCCGGGCATAAGGCAGTGTCCTGAGAGAGATCATAATCTGTGGAGAGAAGATGGGCACACGCACCCCTAACTCTGAGAGAGGTGTCTGGTTCTCAAGAAGATGTAGGGAGGAGGTTGGAGAGATGTCTTCTCTTGGTGTGGACAGAGCCCACTGCAGCTGGAACTTGAAGGTAGCTAAGGGCTGAGAAAGCGTCTCCAAGACGGTGCAGGGCTGCCTTGGCTCTCTGGCCTCACCTTGCCCAGGAACAGCCATCTGAGCCTCTGCTGCCTGACTCCAGCTTTTCTGCGAGGGTCTAAAGGAAGAGGTTAAGTGGAGGTGGAGAAGGAGGCCGATTCCTGAAAGAAGTGTACCCGGGGCTGCCCGGAAGTCAGGCTCCTTTGACCCAGCTCAGATTTTTCCATTCCAGAGGTGGGGACCATTAGACAGGGGGCTCTCTTTTTACCTGGCATTCACACCTGCTGGCAAGGGCGTGCTTCAGGACGAAGCGGTGATCTTTCTGGGAGGTCACAGTGTGAATTAGTTATTTTTCTCTGTAGAGACCAGATGTTGTCTGAATTTGAAAAGCCTCGAGGCAGTCCTCATGCAAATATGCAAATGACCAGAACTTGTTTGCCCCTGCCCACGCGTGACATTCCCAGTTTGAGGAGCTCAGAAGTTGGTGTGAAGCGACCCGGGTGCCCCCAGCCGCGGGTGGGATTAAGCCATCCATCCTGTCTGACGGAGCAGGCCGCGCTGGCCCCGCGTCCCACCAAGGAGAGAGGGCTCAGGCACACAGGAAACGTTGACAGGCTGACATTTCAGCCTTTCGGGAGCTCCTGCAGAGGAAGACAGAGATGTAAAAATGATACCAGTAGCAGTAGAAGATTTCCCACTCTGCCAGACTCAACTCCTTTCTTTGGTTGACCTTTTCCTCAATGAGAAAGCTTGGCTTTTAGAAACCAAGTCATTTTTCACAAGGCCATGGACCGTGGGCTCCCATGGGCAGAGCGGGTCCCCTGCCAGGAGGAGGAGGGGCAGCTGGATTTGTAACACACACGGCAGGGTGGAGCTGCAGGCTGCTGCTTTAGCTTCACAGAGGAAGGAAACCTTTCACGCCCTTAAGAGCTTAAAACCCTGCTTGGATTGCATAGGGGAAAAACTCTCCCCATTCAGTCCAGGTGTGTTGACCTTTATAGTTTCTACCAGCCAGTGAAGGAGGCCTGATTTCCTGAATCATATCAGCCACAGAATCCGCATCCGGCCAGCATTACAGACTTCTTTTTGCCAGTTTGCCTTTGGCCCTATTAAGCAACCATGGCCAGAACTCTCTCCCACCCGGCAGGGCTAGTTTCGTGCATGTGCAATTTGTGCACAGGACCTCACACTCAGAAGGGCCCTGTGTTTGGTTTAATGCTCTGTGCTTGTTGTCTTGAAAATCTTAATACTTTTTGAACAAGGAGCCCCTGTTTTCGTTTAGTACTGGGGCCTACATGTCACTGGTCCTGAATGCCAGGCACCCTCTGCCCCATCCTTTACCTGGAAAATCCCTCAGCTTTGACTCTCAGCTTCAAAGTCTCTTCCACAGGAAACCCGCATCAGTTGCATGAGTTGTAATGTTGATAATTGTAACAACGACATGATCAACATCATTTGAGTCTTTACTGTGTTATGCTCTGAGCTACGTGGTTTCTGTGGATTTTCTCATTTCATCCCCTCAACAACCCTATGGGCATTGTTGTTATTATTTTACTTATTTATTTATTTATTTATTTATTTTGAGTCAAAGTCTCACTCTGTCGCCAGGCTGGAGTGCAGTGGCGCCATCTGGTCTCACTGCAATCTCTGCCTCCTGGGTTCAGATGATTCTCCTGCCTCAGCCTCCTGAGTAGCTGGGACTACAGGTGCCTGCCACCGCACCCAGCTAATTTTTGTATTTTTAGTAGGGTTGGAGTTTCACCATATTGGCCAGGATGGTTGTGATTTCTTGACCCTGTGATCCACCCGCCTCAGTGGGCATTATTATTATTCACACTTTGGACATCAGGAAACTGACAGAAACTAAGCCCACCAATTATTGTCCAGGCTCACCAGCCGGCAATGTTTCCCCTGCATCGTATTCATCGTATTTCATTGTAATGCTTCAATATCTGTCTTCTTCACTGGACAACATGGGTCAATGTCTTCCGTGTTCTCTGTTGAATCCATAGCCTTAAGCACAGTGCTTGGCTAGGTGTGCTCTAGAGAAGGGAGGGAGGAAAGTTGCTGTCCCTTCCTCCCATGTGACTTTATTTTTAAAGCACACAGCACTGATACAGGTCAACACAAGAATAGACAAATGAAAATGCATTCTGAACAACCACTAAAATAAAAGCACCCCACTCTTCTTTTCAATCATCCTCTATTTGTTGGGTTTCTGCCATTTCCTAAGCACTGGACTAGGTGTTGGGGTACAGTGGTGAGCAAAGAGTGCTGACCTCTGTCATCACGGAATTTACAGTGAATGGAGAGACAGAAATTAACCATCTCATCCACTCACAGATGTCAGACTATGTGTGTGACCGTGCCACAAAGAAGAGGTGCACAGTCCAGGAGAGTCTATGACAGGGGGATGTGACTTGGTTGGAAAGGTCAAATGAGCTGAGAATTTAAAGTGAGCAAGGGCTGGGCGTGGTGGTTCATGCTTGTAATCCCAGGACTTTGGGAGGCCGAGGTGGGCGGATCACCTGAGGTGAGGAGTTCAAGACCAGCCTGGCCAACATGGTGAAACCCCAACTTTACTATAAAAAAAAAAAAATTAGCCAGTTGTGGTGGTGGGTGCCTGTAATCCCACCTACTCGGGAGGCTGAGGCAGGAGAATCACTTGAACTCGGGAAGCAGAGGTTGCAATGAGCTGAGATTGCGCCATTGCACTCCATCCTGGGCAACAAGATTGAGACTCTGTCTCAATAAATAAATAAAATAAGTAAATAAAGTGAGCAAGACTTATCTAGAAAAAAGAGGAAGGAACATCCCATGCAGGGGGAATAGTGCAAGCAGAAACTTTTGGGAGGAGGGAGCTTGGACACTTCTAATGGCTGAAGAGGTCAGTGGGTTGGGAGATGCAGCCAGACAGTGCAGGATCACAGGCAGGTTCAGGAATTTTGTCTTCTTTTTAACAGCAATGGGATTGTAAGCAGGAGATGACATGACTTATGTTTTGTAGAGGTTACTCTGGTGGCAGTGTGGAGAATACATTGATGGGGAGGGGCTGAGTGGATCCAACGTGGACCTTATAGATTTATATATGTGCTACTTCGAAGTGTTTATCCCCATGGGATTTATGTTGAAGGAAAATTCCTTTGACAAAGCTCATCTGCGGTGACAAGGAGGACCCTTGGACATCTCAAGGAGATGCCACTTATTGGGGAGGGTATGTGGCTGGCACTATGTTCACCTGGCCTCCTCCGCACTCTATGAGGAGCTGTGACTAGACTGAGTGTGTGCATGGGATTTGGGGATTTTCTGGTGACTGGCAGGAAGACCTGCAGAGTCACCGTTCTAGCCACTAAACAAGCTGCAATAGCCTACTACGCTTTGACATTCTGCCCAGAACCCAGGGCACCTTCAACCAGTTTTTTGATGGATCTCTTGTTCATTTGCAGATAGCTGGGGAGACGCAGGGGCTGGGCAACTGTCCATTCAAGGAGCACACTAACCTACCACAATTGGGACATGAAAACATGGCCGTTTATAATTTAAGTATTTAAATGTCCCAACCAAGAGGAACAACCCCTGAAACTACTCCTGGCCAAGGGGTCAGCATGGACCCTTCTAGAGCCTACTGGAGACAAAGGCTCTGCCAGAGACAAAAATTCTTCTTCTCCTGGGGATAAAGTGGGCTGCCAGGGGAGTGAGCTCTGCTGTAGGAGAAAGACTCAGAGGGCTTCACTCTAATCTTGTCTCTTACATCAACTTGCTTTGTTTTCTTGGGGTAGTCTCATGACCTCTTAACCTGAATTTCTTCAACTGTAAATTGAAGGGTCTAAACAAAATAATTTCTTTTAGTTCCAAAGTTCTGAAATTCATTGTTTAGAAATTCTAGGTGGGATGGGGTGGCTTTCAATCACTAAGAGATCTATGTTCTATCCAAATAGCCCAGCACTGGTCATTGTGGCTATGAGGAGCAGGGCAATAAAATGCTGGCACATTCCAACGGTGAGCAACTGGGACCCTTGAATACTCTAAGGCCTTTGATCTTCACTGTACATGCCAGCGGATCTTTGCCCTTACTTAATTCCACAGTCTTTGTTTTTTACCCTCACTAATAGTTGTGTCTATCCTGTGGCCATTTTTTTTTTTTTTTTTTTTTTTTTTGAGACCGCTCTGTCACCCAAGCTGGAGTGCAGTGGCACGATCTCAGCTCACTGCAACCTCCGCCTCCGGGGTTCAAACGATTCTCCTGACTCGCCCTCCCGAGTAGCTGGGACTACAGGCGCATGCCACCACACCCGGCTGATTTTTTTGTTTGATTTTTTAGTAGAGACAGGGTTTTACCATGTTAGCCAGGATAGTCTTGATCTACTGACCTCGTGATCCACCTGCCTCGGCCTCCCAAAGTGCTGGGATTACAGGCGTGAGCCACCGCGCCCGACTCTGTGGCCATTCTTACCTAAAACTGAAATTCATATACATTCCATGCACCATTAGTTTCCCCTTTCAAGTTTTTCTTTTTAAACTGATGAAAGTGTCCTGTTTTTAAAAGCTGTTTCCTTCCACCCAAACTCACAGGTACAAAGGATTTAAAGGCAACTGTTCCATGACCTTCATTGATCAGTTTAAAGCACTACACCAGTGTAACAAGTATTGCAAAATGCTGGGACTGAAATCCCTTCAAAACAATAGCCAGAAACAGAAGAAGCCGAGCACTGGGAAAAGCAAAGTTCAAGCAAACTCTATGACAGTGAAGAAGACAGGGCCTGAGACCCCAGGCGAAAAGAAAACCTAACATCCCCGGTAAACTAATGGCCACTGGCTAGCAGCACACAGTCTTGCCAGGGAAAATCTGAGGCCACACAGGAGAGAATACACAGCCTGCAGAGAGTGTGCACCAAATGCCTCTAAACCCGTCACCTGCTGTCTTCACTCAAATTATTTCAGAACAGGATTTGTGACCAGGTTTATGGGGAGATTGAATCGACGATCGGTCTCAAAGACAGTCCATTCTTTGTATACACGTTTAGCGTTTTTACCAGCCTCAAGTCATGTGTCTATCTGTGTATTTGCACGTGGTTGTGTTGTCAAGGACTTGGTGCTGAGAAGAGTCTGTTCACAGCCAGAATTATTCCCACCCCCATTCCTAACCTGGAATTTCTAGACACATCCTGCTGTGATGTAAACAGAAATCACGAATTCGCTCACTGGGTCAAGTTTTTCCACTGATGTCTAATATGCTATTGTTGCTGGAGGTGAGTTCTGTAACGTGAAGCCTTTTCCTATCATTCACACAGCCACTTACAATTTTCTGTTTAATTAAATTCATATTTAAACAGAAAGTGTACGATGTATGTATCATTATAGACACTTGCTCTTCAGAATGTGTGCCATATTTTACATTGTTCCAGGATTTAGTAATTTCCTAATAGGTTTCCTAGAGCACAAAATATTTGCATCTGTGTTTTTCCCTCATTCTTACAACTTAGGTTCCATCGCTGTCTACTTTTTCCTTAAACTCGAGCTGCCTAAACCCAGGGCTGACCCATGGTGGATCGCGCCAGAAGATGCACACTAATCCTGGCGGGGGTGCACCACTTCACAGGGATCCTGGCATCTCTAACCACTCCCAGCCCTCATTCCACTTGAGTCTCCTGACGCTCGGAGCCTCCTTCTCTACCAGTTTGGATCATGCCCAGCCATAAAGCAGGATGGTTGCATCAGTGAAATGTGAAATTGGGCAAGAGCAAACCATACAATAGCAACTCAGGGATCGCTTTATGTACCCCAAAGTGCTTAAGAATATCTGCTACCCCAACCATTTGTAACAAAAATATTGTTTCATTAATGGGAATGTTAATGGTAATGTTGCTTCATTAATAGACTTTCTCAGAATGGCTTTAAATTTACAAAAAAAATGAGCAGAAAGTGTGGAGATTTCCGTTGTGTCTCCTCACCTCACTCTATGATCTTCCCCTGTTGCAAACATCTTGCATTAGTGTGGTATGTTTGTTACAGTTGATGAGATAATATTGATACTTTTTTTTTTTTTTTTGAGATGGAGTCTCGCTCTGTTGCCCAGGCTGGAGTGCAGTGGGGCGATCTCAGCTCACTGCAACCTCTGCCTCCCGGGTTCAAGCCATTCTCCTGCCTCAGCCTCCCGAGTAACTGGGGCTACAGGCACATGCCACCACACCTGGCTAATTTTTGTACTTTTAGTAGAGACGGGGTTTCACCATGTTAGCCAGGATAGTCTCGATCTCCTGACCTCAGGTGATCCACCTGCCTCGGCCTCCCAAAGTCCTAGGATTACAGACATGAGCAACCGCGATATGTTGTTATTAATTAAAGTTTATAGTTTACATTAGGGCTCACTCCTGGTATTGTACATGCTGTGGGTTTGGGCAAATGTATCATGGCAGGCATCTACCATTATAGCAACATACAGAATAACTTCACTGCTCTAAAATTCCCCAGTGCTTCACCGATTCATCCCTCCCTTCCCCAACCCCCAACCCCTGGCAGTCACTGATCTTTTCATTATCTTCATAGTTTAGCTTTTTCCTGAATGTCATATAGCTGGAATCATAAATATGTGGCTTTTTCCATAGTTTGCTGTTTCTTAAGACAGATTTCATCTGCTGGCTAACAGCTGGGAGGATTGTAGGGCCACCTCTGAGCAGGAGGACGGATGCTTCGCAAACCTGAATGGGCACGGGAATCCCTGGATCTTGGGAATATGCAGGTTCTGATTGGGTAGGTGTGTGGTGGGGCCTGAATTCTGTGTTTCTGTGAAACTTTCTGGGGATCTCCTGTGGCTGCCCAGGACCACACTCAAAGAGGCAGTCTAGACTATGGGCCGGAGGACCCCGAAATGCTGAGAGGAGTACCTCGGCTCCTGGAGTTCAGATAGTCTGGCCATGGGAAGGCCCGGCTACTTCTGGGTTCTGACATGTGAGGCAGCAGCTTGACAGCAGGACGGAGGTGCCATGTGAGGCGCCCACCACAAGCAATGCTGCCAACACAGAGATTTCTGTGTGCAGAAATCTTCACGGAGGGGTGGTTGACTCTCAGTAGAAGACTCCTGGTTTCTTCTACTTTAAAATATACTATTCTTAGCCAGCCGCAGTGGCTCACGTCTGTAATCCCTGCACTCTGGGAGGCTGAGGCGGGTGGATCACTTGAGGTCAGGGGATCGAGACCAGCCTGGTCAACATGGTGAAACCCTGTCTCTACTAAAAATACAAAAATTAGCTGGGTGTCTTGGGGGCACCCATAATCATGGCTACTGAGGCTGAGGCAGGAGAATCACTTGAACCCAGGAGGCAGAGGTTGCAGTGAGCTGAGATCTCACCACTGCACTACAGCCTGGGCAAAGGAGTGAGACCCAGTCTCAAAAAAGAAAAAAAAAAAAAAATATATATATATATATTTGTACTTTTTTGTATTTTTATGCTTAGAGAATAGTGTGTGTGTGTATATATGAAAAATCCCACTTGTGTTTCCTTTCTTATCAAAATCTGGTGCCTGAGAATAGTATATAGTATATATACACTATATATATATTATGTATATATGGTGTATATGTATATATAAGTATATATAGCATATATAGTATATATATACTATCATATATATACAATAGTATATATACTATATATACTTATATAGTATATATACTTATACAGTGTATATATATATACACAACGGTAGGTATATATATACACACACACACAATATACTACTATACAAACTATACACACTATACTATACGCTATATACTATACACACTATATACTACTCTCAGGCACCAGATTTTGATAAGAAAGGTACCACAATTGGGATTTTTCTTTTGTAAAGGGATTTGAAGGAGAAAATACTTTATTTAGTCACGTGTCATCTTTTTCAGAAAATCTGCCCTTTCTAGGCTTTCTGCTGAAGTGGTTCCCATGGCTAACAGATTATAAAATGCTCATTTTTCTACAAGGCAGCCTACAGCCTGCTTTGCCCACAGAGATCTTACAGATGTGTTTAGTACTGAAGTTCTAGAAAGTTCCAAAATAGCAAAAGGTGCAGGGCACATTTGATGGGAATCATTATCTGTGTGTCTAATCATCTAGCTATATATCAGTGTGGGTGCGACCAAGGCCTTCTTGACAGACTAGGGTACTTTCCTGGGTAATGATTTGTAATTATCAAAATAATGTCAACACAAGTCTGAAAAATTAAAAACAAATTGCAGAAAGGTATGAAACGAAAAGTCAAAGCCATCCTGTGAGAAGGATGAAAAAGCCACCCCACTTCCCCTCCAGCTGGCCTTAAATCTTCATTTGGAGAGACAGTGGAGGAAAAGGATTTCCTATTCCCAGATTCCGTGTTTTGCGGTCAGCCCAGGGGGTGCCTCTCTTAGATGGAGCCATCCCAGTCTCCTTTCACAGATGCTTAGACGTTTTAGAAGTCCCTTCATTGTTTATTGTAACATGATTTCATCTGTTTAAAAACATTTGGGCCGGGCACAGGGGCTCACTCCTGTAATTCCAGCACTTTGTGAGGGCAAGGCGGGCGAATCACCTGAGGTCAGGAGTTCAAGACCAGCCTGGCTAACATGGTGAAACTCTGTCTCTACTAAAAAAACAAAAATTAGCCAGGCATGGTGGCAGGTGCCTATAAGCCCAGCTACTTGGGAGGCTGAGGCAGGAAAATTGCTTGAATGTGGGAGGTGGAAGTTGCACTAAGCCAAGATTGCACAACTGCACTCCAGCCTGGGCAACGGAGCAAAACTCTGTCTCAGAAACAAAAACAAACACAAACAAACAAACAAACAGATTCCCCACACGTTTGGAGGACAGGGACAGAAGGAGCTCTCACAGTTGGATCTGTCCCAGCCAGGGAGCGTAGGGATGACCTTGTATATGGTCACGGCCATCTGTCCAGCCGTCCAGCTCCACCTGTTCTGAGACAAAGTGCTGTTTTCCTTGCCCAGACAAGTAACAGGGTGAGCGTGGAGTAGGTTCTCTTACACCAGCAGTGATGTCCTAGAGGCTCAGAAATGCCCATGCTTCTTGACGTTGTTTTGGTTCAGTCTGGAACACATCCAGTTCTCTTGATTTTCCCATTTGTCTTCATAAATGTGCTGTGTTAGGAAGACCAAATACAATGAATGCGCAACCCAGGGACTGGGCCAGGAGGCCCTGTGGATCCAGCTGGGGATTGTGTCCCTTCCTGGTGCCTGCAGGGTGGTCATTTACATATATGACTTAGTCTCCAGCAGGGCTCAACCATGGAGCTCCCTGATGGGCGGATCAGAAAGACAAATTAAAGCTTCACTACAACGGGCCTGTGTTTTCAACAGCACGTTTCTTGCAAATGAGAATGGCAGGGAAATGATGACTTCTTGCCAGTGGGCATCCTGTCTGGAACGTCCTGGGTTTGGCTGCGTGGCTGGCTAGCTGGTATTCATATCTCATGTTCTTTTCTTGTACCAAAGCCTCTCAGCCATGCCTCTGACAAGCTTCATAATAGCAGGGAGCTTCAATAGAGTTTCATGATAGAGAATGCCCAAAGAAGCAACAATTATTTTCTAATTATAAAGTGCTCTCTCTTCTATTATACATAGACATACGGTTTTGTGCGTGTGTCAGGCATGTGCTCAACTGGATGCAGCTGGGAGGGGCCTGCCAACAACTCAGTCTTGGCTCGTTTTCCTGGTGGATGTTCTGCTCCTTTTGACCACAGATGCCAAAGTGAACAGGACGGCATTTCTCCCCCATTTAGATCTGCAGATGTGCTTGAGCTTAACTACTTAAAAAAAAAAAAGCTAAGAGACACAAAAACCTCTCATGCCTCCCAGCATAGGATGTATCTTCCAACTCTTTGCTGTGGCAGATCTGAAACCCTCTGAGAGCCTGCTATTGCTATTTTGTAAAAGCTGCGAGGCAAGATGGAGCCAGTTTCATCTGTGAGATCACTGGGCACAGCCTTCAATTTCACGATGCGATGAACAAATATTTACAAGCACTAATTGTGCCAATACATCAATCATTTTTAAAATTCTATTTTCCATGAGGCCCACACAGTCCCAGATAGAAATCATCTCAGAGACGTTTTCAAAAGTCACGTGGTTTTGATTACATACAATCAAGAAAAGTCAATCTATCAGCTCCCATTGCAGGGCCCAGAAGCCTCAGAGATCATTCTACTGAGACACCTCACCTCCACTGCCCGCTTTGCCCTGGCCTTTCCTCTTTCATGCGCCACCACACCCAGCTAATTTTTGTATTTTTCGCAGAGATAGGGTTTCCCCATGTTGGCCAGGATGGTTTCGATCTCTTGACCTCGTGATCCACCCACTCGGCCTCCCAAAGTACCGGGATTACAAGCGTGAGCCACTGTGCCCGGCCCCACCTTTATTTCTTTAGCCTTTATTATCATGTGACATCATATACATTTTATTCTTTTTTTAATTGTCCATCTTCCCCACACCAGAATGTAAGTTTTCTGTGGGCAGGATATGGTTTTTTTCTGGTTTATTTACTGCTGCATCCCAATACCTAGAGATGCTTGGCACATTGCACTCTCTAATGAACATCTGTTCACTGGATGAATACCTCTGACCCATTCATGCTGGTGTTCTCTGGTGGAGAGGTAGAGGTTCTTGCTTATGGCAATTTGATTTGGTTAAAATCTCTGGCTTCTTTAGATCCTTAGCATGAGATAATAGACTTGAAGAGCCTTCTAAAGCGGGAAGGCAACATCGTGAGACTAAGGTACCTAGTCTCTGAATAAAACTGCTGGGCTCCAGTCTTGATTCTGACGCTTACCAGCTACGTGTGTTTGGAGAATGACTGAATCTCTCTGCTTCATCCCCATGCTGTTTTTAGGTAAATGCAGCTTTCATCAATAGCTCTTCCAGCTTCCTGCTGCTCTTCCATCTTTCAGAAAAAGGAGAATTTTGAGCAGGGAATAATGGAAGGTAAAAGATCAGCAAAGAGAAGAAAGGAAGGTAGCCGCTATGGGGAGACTCTCAAGAACCATTGTTCAGAAGCAAGGCTAAGAAGATGTTTCAGGCCTGAAACAGGGGAGATACTACATCGAGCCATGAAGAAGGAGGAGCAGGCTGGGGGCATACTTAAGGCAGGGGCTTTTCTGATTGGTCAGGGGTCCAGGCTTATTTCTGTGGGCTTCACAGGGCACTGGGGTTCAGCCACAGGCATGGGCTGAACATCTGGAAGCTGGAGAGCATAGTGCTTGCCCAGACAGGAGGCAGGATGGAGGAGCGGAGAGCAGGGTTCCTGACCACAAGAGGCATCTCCGGACCAACAAGCAGGAGAGGGCACTGGGACACCAGCAAGGCACAGGTCTAGAGGGGCTCAGGAGCAAATCCTGGAAAGGCGTGAATGACCCAGTGCAATGGACTAAATGTGTATGTCCCCCATAAAGTGCATATGTTGAAATCCTCACCCCCAAGGTGATGGTATTAGGAGTTGGGGCCTCTGGGAGGTGATTAGGTCAGGAGAGTGGAGCATTCATGAATGGGATTAGTGCCCTTCTAAAAGAGGCCCCAGAGAAACCCCTCATCTCTCCCACTATATGAGAGAACTTTGAGAAGCCACCATCTATGGTCTAGGAAGCCAGCCCTGTCCAGACACCAAATCTGTCAGAGTACCTTGATCTTGGGCTTCTCAGCCTCCAGAATGGCAAGAAACAAACTTCTGGGTAATTTAAATTACCCAGTCTATGGTATTTTGTTATAGCGGCCCAAACAGACTGAGATACCCAGAGACAGAAGGGAGAAAGGACAAAGCAGAAACCAAACTAGGCTGATCCATTCCAGCATCTGGAAACTTCCTTCTTGACACAGCCTCCTCAGGGGTCTGCGGGGTAGCAGCCGGCTAAAGGGGGACGGCAGAGAGCAGCTGGTGCTAGGAAAATCCAGGCATCTCTGTCAGGCAGATGCGTTTCAGCTGCGGGAGCCACTGTTTCCAGGTAGCCTCAGACATTTCTAACAACCAAAAGAAATGTTCACTTTAAAAAGTTGGTTCCCTTGGCACCGTTATGGCTTCCCAGGAGAGAGTTTGGCTTGTTATCACTTATGTCTGTGTTTGCACATCTTGCTAATAGTGCCTTATGATATGCTCTTGAAGATCAATTCAGTATTTACTATTGTTTCTAAGTCCGTGTTACAGGAAATCAATAAATCAAACAAATCCCTTGCCACAGCAGACCAAGAGTTTAAATTAGGTGTGGTTCTGTGTCCATGAATTAGCTTCCTCCTCTCTCCGTCCCGGTGGTGGGCTTGAGACAAGGAAGAAAAACCGCCTCGCACAGAACTTAATGAGATGAATCTACTTGCCCCTACCTTTTTCTCCGCCCTAGCAATTCCACCTCCTAGAGCTCCAGTGCCCTGTATATTCATTTTATGTAACAGGTGGCATCCTGAAAACCCCAATCAAGCAAAATTCTCTTCCATCAAGCCCTATTTTAAATATCTTGGAGGAAGAGGAGGCTCCTCCTCAGAAAGATCCTTCTGGTCAGTTTGAATCATGAGGTTAGGCTAGCCATCACGTCTAGGGATACTGGGCGTTATCTTGGTCCTTACACCAGTATTTTCTAAAGAATAAGAAGTTTTAGGCCAGACATGGTGGCTCACACCTGTAATCCCAGCGCTTTGGGAGGCCAAGGCAGGAGGATCTCTTGAGCCCTGGAGTCAGGATCAGCCTGGGCAACATGATAAGACCCTGTTTCTAGAAAACATAAAAAAATAGCCAGGCATAGTGGCATGTGCTTGTAGTCCCAGTTACTCAGGACGCTGAGGTGGGAGGATGGCTTGAGCTCGGGAGGTCAAAGCTACAGTGAGCTGAGATCACACCACTGTGCTCCAGCCTGGGCAACAGAGCAAGACCCAGTCAAAAAAAAAAAAAAAGTAATTGTAAAAGGCAAATATGGCATTTTTCATTGAATTACTGGAATAAGCGTCTCAGTTTTTACCTTTTATTGGGCACTTTTCCGAAACTTTTTTCTTGGATCTCTCCTTATTTTTTATATCTTCATTTAAATGTCACTTTCTCAAACAGTCCTTGCCCCCTCAACCCACTACATCAGTCTTTCTAAATCTTAGCTGGGCATTGGACTATCAGGGAGTGTCAGAAAATAATGATGCCAGGGTCAGGCATGGTGGCTAGCATTTTGGGAGGCTGAGGAAGGCAGATCACTTGAGGCCAGGACTTTGAGAGTAGCCTGGGCAACATAGCAAGACTCCATCTCTACAAAACATCAAAACATTAGCCAGGCATGGTGGTGTGTGCCTGTAGTCCCAGTTACTCAGGAAGCTGAGGCAGGACAATCACTTGAGCACAGGAGTTCGAGGCTTCAGTGAGCTATGCACTCCAGTCTGGGTGACAGAGCGAGACCCTGTCTCAAAAACTAAACAAAAACAGAAAAGAAAAGAATGACGCTAGGCCCCACCCCAGAGCTTCTGGTTGAATCGGTCTGGGATGTAACCTGGACATAGAGATTTTGGACTGATTTTTAATTACATTGGGTGCTGGGATTTGGTGCAACTTTATACAGGGAACTGGCCCATGTGGACCCCTTGCTTATATTCAAGTTGCATGTAGCTATGGCCAAAGCTTACAGAAGTATTATCTCCATCTTCACCAATCTTTCCCTGAGATTTGGTGACATAAGTGACCAGTACAACACACACAAGGATACCTCCGTTTAAGTGCTTATCCTTGACCAAGTCACCAAGGAAGAACTCTAGGCCCAGAATTCTGGAAAAGGAATAACTAAAGCAGTTATTTAGCTTTTTATTTTTTATTTTTGTTTTTTTGAGACAGAGTATCTCTGTTGTCCAGGCTGGAGTGCAGTGGCACGATTTTGGCTCACTGCAACCTCTACCTCTCGGGTTCAAGCGATTCTTGTGCCTCATCCTCCTGAGTAGCTGGGATTACAGGCACACACCACCACACCTGGAAAATTTTTGTATTTCTAATAGAGACAGGGTTTCCTCAGGTTGACCAAGCTGGTCTCAAACTCCTGTCCTCAGGTGATCCACCCAGGCCTCGGCCTTCCAAAGTGCTGGGATTACAGGCATGAACCACCGCGCCTGGCCTAAAACGGTTATTTAGATGCAAAACATTCCAGGAAGAAGCCTACATTCAAGCTTATTTTCCTGCAATGTCCAGTTCTGCCAAAATGCAAGTGATACAAAGAACATCACGTTTTAAATGTGAGGAAGTACTGTCCTTGAAGATCCAGGCCTGCTCATGGGTACAATAAACTGTTGCCTATGTGATTTGAGGTCAGGGCACCAAAATGCTCCCCTGTCACAAAATGCTCTCTTTATCCTTTGATCACAAAACCCAGAAAGTCAAATTTCTGGGTGGAAATGTTGTATCTCAGGAAATGACTCTTGCGATGCAGACTTGCCTGGGAGGATCACTCCTGCATCTCTTCCCATAGATTACCAGACAGCATGGCCCTAAGAGTGGTGGCGGCTGGTGATGTTGATGCTGATAACCTAACAATGGCCTCCTCTATTTGTAAGGAGCTGTTAATCCTTCCAAATGTGGATTAAGGCCGGGTGAGGTGGCTCACGCCTGTAATCCCAGAACTTTGGGAGGCTGAGGCGGGCAGATCACCTGAGGTCAGAAATTTGAGACCAGCCTGGCTAAAATGGTGAAAGCCAGTCTCTCCTAAAAATACAAAAATAGCCAGGTGTGGTGGCATGTGCCTGTAATCCCAGCTACTCCAGAGGCTGAGGAATGAGAATCACTTAAACCCAGGAGGCGGAGGTTGCAGTGACCCAACATCATGTCAGCCTGGGCAAAAGAGCAAGACTCTGTCAAAAAAAAAAAAAAAAAAAAAAAAAAAGGAGTGGATTAAGCAGTTAAAACTTGACAATAATTCAGGAGAGTAATTCAGGCATCTTAATCCCACTTTTCCAAACGAGGGAACTCCACATAGAGCTGTTCAGTGAGTTTACCAGGAGTTGTTCATGACTCAGTGGCAAGCCAACATCTGAAGTCACATCTTCTGACTGTTGGGTATCTTATCCCTCACTCCATCTTCTAGAAAGGATATTTTTGGTGATGCACTCCAAAGATAAGCCCCAGCAACCTCTGGGAAAAATATCAAAGCACAGGAGGGGATACCCAAAAGAGACTCCCCCATCTATCTTAGCTGACCTCTCCTTTCTCCTAGGGTCCTACTGTCACTACCCTCAAGCTGGCCACCGGCCTCTCAGGCCTCAGAGCTCCAGCCCATTTATTCTCTCTGCACTGGGGATGAGACAGCGAGACTTCACATGTCAGGTCACCCCATTACTTAACATTGGATTTTCTGTGGTGCTTATGAGATGTTTCATCAAGTAACTTTAATTGGTTCTAATTTTATCCTTTCATCCTTATTGTAGAGCAGCTCAATTGAATTGTCACATTCATGCTCAGACAACTAAAAAGTGAATCTCAGAGCTTTTATATAACATATATACATGTATTTATATCATCTGTAGATTCACATACAATGAGCAGGCCTTTGTGCACAGCATGAGGGGGTGATTCAAAGGTTGTTATTTTCTCCCCATGTTGTGAGTTGTCATTTCCTTCACCTTGTACAGAGCTGGCATCTTGCCCAGACAGGTTGGCACTTGTCTTAGTCTGTTTTCATGCTACTGGTAAAGGCATACCAGAGACTGGGTGAGTTATAAAGAAAAGGAGGTTTAATAGATTCACAGTTCCATGTGGCTGGGGAGGCCTCACACTCATGGCGGAAGGTGAGGGAAGAACAAAGACACATCTTACATGGTGGCTGGCAAAGAGAGAGTGAAAAACCAAGTGAAAGGGGTTTCCCCTTATAAAACCATCAGATCGCATGAGACTTATTCACTACCATGAGAACAGTATAGGAGAAACCACGCCAATGATTCAATTATCTCCCACTGGGTCCCACCCACAACATGTGGCAACTGTGGGAGCTACAATTCAAGATGAGATTTGGGTGGGGACACACCAAACCTTACCAGCACTCTTCAGATCTAGCCTGTGTGGGGTCTGGGTGTGGGTGGGTTTCCACCACCGTCGAGGGCCTCTCATACCCTGATGCAGCTCTGAGGAAGAGGGTTATCGCCTTGGCCATGTGGCACTGGAAGGGGCCCAGTCTCAGCCTGGGGGCGGGGCGTCTGGACATCCTCTCCTGGACACTCCATGGGCCTGAGCAGTCAAGCTGCCACGGAATTATCACCCCACAGTGCCCAGGTAAATAGTGAATGTAGCGTCCATTAGGTTGGTGCAAAAGTAGTTGCGGTTTTTGCCATTACTTTTCATTGCAAGAGTCGTGATTACAATAAAATTCTAAGAAATGCTCCACAGCAACCACCCCGGCCTCCAGGGTGAGCCAGCATCCCCACGCCAGAGGTTCTAACGTCCTACCTTTTCCCCGTGCTCTGTGCTGCGCCTGGCCCTGTGACCCTCCTGTGTCTCCTCCCTGGGCGGGAAGAGAAGCTTCTGTGCTCTGCTTCATCCTTGATTCCAAGAAGCCTGTTTTGGGAAAAATAATTTAAAACCTTCTGTACTTTATTTTGTGCTGTCTTTTCCCCTCCTACTATCCGTTGCTCCTCGAGGCTATATCACATCTCATCTCTGCTCCCGAGTCCCAGAGCAGTTCATATGAGGAAGAGGGGAAAAAAGAAGATCACAAATAACACAATTCCAAGCCATCATCTTGCCTCAAGCGCCATTTCAGCCCTTCACAGCCCTGCTCTTGCAATTGCATCTGCCAGGAATGCCCTGCCTTCGCTTTGCCCCAGGTCACATCTCTCACTTTCTCCAGCCCCCTTCTCGGGTCACCTTCTCTGTGCTCCCCTGCCCGTGCCCTGGGCGTGCTTTGATATGGTGCCTCCATGCTGTTCACGGGGTCTCCAGAAGACATCGGGGATTGTCCTGGGTTGGGTTCCCTCAGAAGCAGAGCCGCTGACGAGCGTTTGCATGCCAGCTATTTATTTGGGAGGTGATCCTAGGAAGCACAGTCGGTGGGGAAGAGAGATAGAGGAGGAGGGCAGCAGCCTCTAGAGGGGCTGTCACCACCGCGGGCCCCTGGGACCCGTGCATGCCAGTGAAGAGCATGCATCTCACAGTTTCTCCCCGGGAGTGAGGCTCCATGCACTGACTCCCATCCATCACTGGAGGAGCATCTGGCACTTTTGCCCCCTGTGCGTAGGCAGAGAGGCTTCTGGAAGCCAATGCAAGCAACAGGCAAAGAGATGCCAGTCCTGGTGGGGCAGTCAGGCTGCCTCGGCTCTGCAGGCGGAAGGCCTACGCAGATACGAGCAAGCATATTATGAGCTGCCTTTCAGGGCCAGGATTATTGCTTGTTTATTCATATGTGCATTTCTGTTGCCCCATTGAGGCCCTGATATGCTGTGGGTACCTATAAGATGAAAAGAACAAAGACAGGACAAGCAAACAATACAAAAATAGCTGCCTGGAACCATTAGCCAGAACGAGAGATGTGCAGAAAGCCTGCTAGATGATGCACTGTTTTCCTCTCTCTAGAAGCCTGTCTTCAGAGTTTCTCCACGTCTGGGTATCCCATCAGTGGACTGATGTTTCATGGCTGAAAACATTTAATTCTATTTTTTTTTTTAATGTATAAAAATCAACAACAGGCCGGGCGCGGTGACTCATGCCTGTAATTCCAGCACTTTGGGAGGCTGAGGTAGGTGGATCACTTGAGGTCAGGAGTTCAAGACCAGCCTGGCCAACGTGGTGAAACTGCATCTCTACTAAAAATATTTAAAAAAAAAAACAAAAAAAAAACATTAGCCAGGCATGGTTGCGTGCGCCTGTAATCCCAGCTTCTCAGGAGGTTGAGGCAGGAGAATCACTTGAACCCAGGAGGCAGAGGTTGCAGTGAGCCGAGATGGCACCACTGCACTCCAGCCTGGGTGACAGAGCGAGACTTCGACTCAAAAAAAAAAAAAAAAAAAAAAACCCACAAACAATCAATAACAGCTAACAAATCACATTAGCTGGTTCAGAGAAGAGACCACAGAGTGTCAGGGAAGGGCAAATAGCCCTGCACCATAAGAATCCAGCTGGACTTGCCTCATATGTAGGAAATGAACACCCCTCACTACTGCTTCCCTTAAATAAGGGCATTATGCTTGCATGAAAACGTTGATGTTATGTGTCTCTCTATTCCCTGTTACCTGAGAATTTCAGCGGACTTGTTCACCATGACAGGCCACAAAAGCACAAACAGGGAACACAGCAGATTGCCTAAGGGCTCTTCTGAACCAAGGATCCCCTGAGAGGTGATAACTGAAGCCGTAGCTTGGAGGTTCTTTCACCTAGATCGAGCCATGCCTGAATTCTACATACTCCTCATACTATTCAATTAGGTTAGACAATAAATTCCTTTTTTGCTAAATATACTTGAAGCTGGGTTTCTATTCCTCATGACTCAGAGTCCAGATTAACCCTCCACTCACTCTTTACAGAAACAAAATTCCTCCTTGTCACAGCAAGTCTCTGTTCTCTCCAGGTTCTGCCCCCTAGTTCACTGATTCACTGTGAAACCTTGAAAACAGTGCCCACCTCTTTATAACCTCAAATCGCTCCCCAGAATCCTGGTGACTTCTCTGATTAGTCTCTTTCTGTCTCTCTCTGTCACCCCTACTCATCTTGACCACCCTCCCTACCACCACCACTACCTAGTCAAAGAAGGAAAGTGTGGATACCGCAGTTTTTATTAATTAAATGCCTTACAGCTTTCTGGGAAAGTTCTCTCCTAGTTTTGAGTCTAATATGGTTCTGTAGCACAAACCCCCCTAAATCATTCATCCATAAACATCCAAGGAAGATTTTTGGGACACTGTGATGGTTGATTTTATATGTCAACTTGACGGGGCCACAAGATGCCCGTGTATCTGCTTAACATTATTTCTGGTATGTCTGTGAAGCTGTTCATGGAAGATACTAGCATTTGAGTCAGTGAACTGAGAAAAGCAGCTGACCCTCCCCAGTGTGGGTGGGCCTTGTCCAATCCATTGAGGACCTGAATAGAACAAAACGGTGGAAGGTTAGATTCCCTTTCTGTCTGACTGAGTGAGCTGGGACATCAAGCTTCAGAACCCCTGATTCTGAGGTCTTCAGATCAGATTAGATTTGATCCCATTGACTCTTCACCTCTCAGGCCTTCCAACTATGAAACCTGCTTTCCTGGGTCTCCAGCTTGCAGACAGAAGATTGTGGGACTTCTCAGCCTCCATCATCATGTAAGCAATGCCTTACAATACATCTGTTTATAGAAATATCTTATTGGTTCTGTTTCTCTGGAGAACTCTAATACAGAAATGGACTGGTGGCTACTTACCCAATCTTCATTCTCTCTATCCAATATCCATTTCCCACTTCTTCCTTAATAACAGAACCCAATATTGCTCTCAATGGCAAGGTGCTCAGTTACAATATTGCATTTCCCAGACTCCCTTGCAGTTGAGGGTAGTCATGTGTCACAGTCCTGACCAATGAGCTCTCAGCGTAAGTCTCTGGTTGGGGCTTCCAGGAGCATTCCTTAGAGAAGATTAAACAAGAGAGCAGCTACTCTTTTTTGTCCCTCATTCTTTAAGTTTTTCCTTCCTGGGACATGAGTGGGAGAGCTCTAGTAGTTACATTGTGGCTCTGAGGGCCACCCTTCTAGAGTGGTCATCTAGAAGGAGCCCAGATTGCTGAAGACATTGTGAGGCTGCTGTTCCAGTTCTAGGCTCTCAGCTTTCAGATTTTTTATTATAGGATATATATATTTTAAAAAGCAGCTCTATTTTCTCTAAATCACTTGTTACTTGATATGCACGTCTATGTATGCCATTCCTGTTTAAAATAAAGTTCTCTAAAAGTAGATCTACCATTCGATCCAGCAATCCCACTACTGGGTATCTACCCAAAGAAAAATAAGTCACTATATCAAAAAGACACCTGCACACATATGTTCATTGCTGTACAATTCACAATTGCAAAGACATGGAACGAACCTAAGTGCCCATCGACCAAAGATAAAGAAAATATGGTATATATACACCAACGAATACTACTCAACCATAAGAAAGAATGAAATATAATGACTTTTGCAGCAACTGGATGGAGCTGGAGGCCATTATTCTAAGTGAAGTAAGTCAGGAGTGGAAAATCAAATACCACATGTTCTCACTAATAAGTGGGAGCTAAGCTATGGGTAAGCAAAGGCACACAGAGTGATATAATGGACTTTGGAGACTCAGAAGGAGGGTGGGAGGGTGAGGGAGAAAAAACTCCATATTGGGTACATTACTCAGGTGATGGTTGTGCTAAAGTCTCAGACTTCACCACTGTACAATTCATTCATATAACCAAAAACCAATTGTACCCCAAAAGCTACTGAAATAAATATATTTTAAAAAATAAAATAAAGTTATCTAAGCCATTCAAAACAGAGTGTATTGCTGATGCTTTTTTTTTTTTTTTTTTCTTTTTCTGAGACAAGATCTCCTCTGTCGCCCAGATTAGAGTGCAGTAGTGCGATCATGGCTGCAGCCTCAACCTCCCTGTGCTCAAGCAATCTTCCCATCTCAGCCTCTCAAGTAGCTGGGACTACAAGTGCATAGTAGCCACCACACCATGCTAATTCTTTGTTTATTGAGACAGAGTCTTGCTCTGTTGCCCAGGCTGGAGTGCAATGGCGCAATCTCAGCTCACTGCAACCTCCCCCTCCTGAGTTCAAGCAATTCTCCTGCCTCAGTCTCCCGAGTAGCTGGGATTACAGGGATACACCACCATGTCTGGCTAATTTTTGTATTTTTAGTAGAGATGGGGTTTCACCATGTTGGCCAGGCTGGTCTTGAACTTCTAACCTCAAGTGATCTGCCTGCCTCGACCTCCCAAAGTGCTGGGATTACAGGTGTGAGCCACTATGTCCAACCCAAAGTCTTCTTTTACTGCAGTGGTGCTCGGTGTTGGCTGCACATTAGAATCACCTAATGTGCTTTAAAAATGTCAGTGACTGGGTCCCCTTTAGAGATTCTTATGTAATTGGTCTGGGGCATGGCCCAGGCCTTGGGATTTTTAAAAGCTCTCAGGGTGCTTCTAATGTGCAGCCAAGGCTGAGAACATACTGCTCCTCTCTTTTCCAAGGTAGAGTAATTGGCTAATTGATTCCCTCATCAGTCTCATTAAACACTAATGAGAACTGCTGTGTCCCAGGCTTACAGCCCAGTGGCTCTAAACTTGAGCAGGCATCAGAATCACCTGGAGGATTTGTTAACACACAGATTGCAGGCCCTATCTCCACAGCTTCTGATTTAATGGGTCTGGGGTGGCCCAGGTAATCTGCATTTTTCACAACCGTTCCCCGCCCCGCCCCCGACCAGGTGCTGCTGGTGCTGCTGGTCACTTTCCTGGGGTTGTGGGTTTTTTTTTTTTCTTTTTTGCCTCTCACATCTTCCTTCTGTGTTCTCGTCCCGCTCTCCCACCCTCCTCTAGGTCTCAAGGGCTGTTTGCTTTGCTTTACTGTTTACTTGCTATTAAAAACAGCAAAAAACTTGTTCCCTTTTAAAAGAATTTTAGGCAGTGGCACTTGAGAAACTAAGCCAGGACTCTTCCCTCCTTTAGGTCTGAATATAAGAATTTCCACTTGTCTTCCAAGTCTCCATTTGGATGTCACCTCCTCCAGGAAGTCTTCCTTTGGGCCCCCAAGCCTCTGCCCTCAGGGCCCCTGGCACTTCCATCTCCTCACATTTGGGTGTAATTACCTAGTTGAATCTCTAGTCTCCTAAAGACAGGAACACATTTTATCTCCGTAGGCCCAGGACCCTGTACACAGTGCGTATGCAGTAAGAATTCTCCTGCATGAAAGAAAGAGGGTGGCTTACCGGGCATGGTGGCTCACGCCTGTAATCCCAGCACTTTGGAAGTCCGAAGCGGGTGGATCACCTGAGGTTGGGAGTTCGAGACCAGGCTGACCAACATGGAGAAACTCTGTCTCTAAATTTTGTATTTGTAAAAATACAAAATTAGCCGGGCGTGGTGGCACATGTCTGTAATCCCAGCTACTAGGGAGGCTGAGGCAGGAGATTCGCTTGAACCTGGGAGGTGGAGGTTACGGTGAGCTGAGATCACACCATTGCACTCCAGCCTAGGCAACAAGAGCAAAACTCCATCTCAAAAAAAAAGAAAAGAAAGAGGGTGGCTTTGGGCAGGTTGGGCCTCTGCTGTAGGGGAGGATGAGCTGGGATGGTCTAGCCAAAGAGGCCCAGGGGCACCCCTTCCTGGCTAGGTCCCTTGGAACCTGAATACAGCCCACAGCTGACCCCTCCTACCAGAAGCTTAGTTATATCCTTACATTTCCCAGCTGGAACCCCAGCTCTGCCCTGGCCTCTCTCTTCCTAACCCACACATCACTTGAAGAAGGCCAGCAGCTGCGTTTGCAGGTGAGCTTCTTGGAATAATTCTCCTCCTGGAAAGGAAAATCCTCTCACAGCTGAGGCAATGGCACTGTGCAAGTTTCCTCCCTGCCAGTGACTTTTAGAAAGGACAGACTTCTGACATTTCCTCAGAGTAAAAGGAGAACTCTGAGTCTCCCCAGTTGGGCAGCCTCGCCTGAATGACTTTGAGAAATGAGCAGAGGACCTTGGCAGGAAATGAATCTCGCAGCACAGACACGTCACCGAACAGTAAACCAGGCCTTGGGTTCATTAAGAATGACGCAATTGACGCCATTCTGTCAGGGGCTGGCAGGCAGCTCTTCCCAGAAAAGCGTGTCTGCGATACAGGAGCCAAAAAAGTGTCTCTGTGATACAGGAGCGAAAAAGAAATTATTTAGGAGTTAATGAGGGGTAAGGGAATCCTTGGTAAGGGTATCCTTTTCATGAAAAGCAGCCTGAAAAATCAAGCTGCAAGCCTAGATAAGCAAGCTGGAAGCTTGCACAGGTGATGCCAGCAGCTATGCCAATAGAAAAGGGATACCTGGAAGCCAGGCATATTCAACACAGAGGTTTCCTCTTCCCTTTCCTTTGTCACCATGTGTGCAGTCAATACAGTGCTGGCCAGGTAAAGACCTCATTTACATAATAAAAGATTAGGGTGGGATGGCCAGCCTCTTGGTGCCCTGTGTAAATGGCACACCTGGTCCAACCAATCCACTACACCCTATGTAAATCAGACACCGCCTCTTCAAGCTCATTTATGAAACCAACCACATCTTGCCCCAAACCCAGGATACCCATTCAGAAACCCCCTCCCTCTGCATGGGGGAGCTTTTCTCTTTTGCCCGTTAAACATTCTGCTCTTAAAGTCACTCTTTGTGTGTCCGCATCTTCAATTTCCTTGCGTGAGACAAGGAACTTCTGGTATTACCACAGACAAACGATGCTGCTTCAGTTGCAGGGGTTCAACCCAGCCCATTTCACTGCCTGGAATAAAACAGCCATGTGGGGGCAACCACTAGGGACCCTGCTCGCTGTAGGGGAGTGTGGTATTTAGCCTAAGATTTCAGAATGTGGCAGAAGAGAGGAACCTTCCAGAGGTGCACAGAGAGCATCCTGGTGAAACCAGCTCAGGTATGAAGAACAGAAGAAATCACAAGGTATCAGCCAGTGGAAGGCACCCCAGGAGGGCCTGCCACACAGATAGAAAGATTAACATGGTTTAGGCAAATGGACTGCTGTTGCTTAAAATCAGAGCACCTTGGCCTTTGGAGGGTGGAGGACCCTCTTGCAAATTGGGTGACGGCTCTGGACCCTCCCCCTAGAAAAGTGCATCTATGCATGAAATGTCATTGTCCATTTCAGGGGTTTGAAGAATCATCCTGAGGATTTTTCAGGCAGAGAAGTGGCAGCATTTCAGGCTGGCATCTGGCATGAGAAATGCACAGGGCAGCTGTTGAGACAATTAAGGACAAGGTGTTTGGCAGGAAACAAGGCCAGCTGGTGACAGAGACAGACAGCCACGTAATTGTAACAGGATGGATATTGGCTAAAATGAAATATTGATTAACAATAATATGGTCCAATGAGTGGGGACACAGCCTGGAGACATGCAAAAAATTCCTGCCGTTTCCAACCATTCATTTATCCAACCAATATTATGATTGGCACTGTTCTGTGAGCTGGGGATACAGCAACATCCTTGTCCTCTTGTGTCTGACCTACTAGTGTAGACACAGAAAATCGACAAATAAGTGATGTCAGGAGGCAAAAAGTGCTGCAATGATGGGGAAGGCTTCTCTGAAAGGAAAACTTTGAATAGAAACGTGAATGAAGTGGCATGCGTATATCTGGGGAAACGGTCCAGATAAAGGGAACAACAAGCACAAAGGTCCTGAGATAGGAATGCGCTCTGCATGTTTGAGGAACAACGGGGATGAGGGTGGCGTGAAGTGAGCAAGAGGAACAGGAGGAGGCGAGGTCTGTCTCAGAGGATAAAGGGGATCCTTGAATTTTATTCCCAGTAAGCTGGAAACCATTAAAAGGTTTTGAGCAGGAGAGTGACATAATCTAATTTAGGTTTTAAAAATGGGTCCCAGTGGCTCATGCCTGTAATCCCAGGGCTTTGGAAGGCTGAGGCAGGAGGATTGCTTGAGGCCAGGAGTTCAAGACCAGCCTGGGCAACATAGTGAGATCTCATCTATACAAAAAATAAAAACACTGACCAGGCATGGTGTTGCGCCTATAATCCTAGCTACTTGGGAGGCTGAGGCAGGAGGATTGCTTGAGCCCAGGAGGTCGAGGCTACACTGAGCCAAGATTGTCCCACTGCACTCCAGCCTGGGCAACAGAGCAAGACCTTGTCTAAAAAAAAATCACTTCCAATGGGAAAATAAATGGACAAAGTCATAGTCAACACTCTTGTGACCATTATAACTAGTTATACCTCCTCGCCTTAACAGATAACTTATCTACTCTTCCTTGGTCCTGCTCAGTGTTCAGCAAACGTTTTTTTAAAGAGACAGAGAGTAAATTTTAGGCTGTGGGGACTATATGGTCTCTGGCATAACTGCTCAACTCTGCATTGGAGTGTGCAAGCAGCCATGGATGACAAGCAAGTGAACAAGCACTGCTGAGTTCCAGGTGATCAGCAACCCAGTTTGCCTGGAACTAAGGTTTTCCAGGACCTAAGACTTCCAGGGCTCAGCTGGGATAGTTCGGGCAAAGAAGGACAGTTGGTAACTTCCCACTGGGAAACTTCATACATGCATTTCCTTTGCCTGAGAATTTTTCCCTACTTTTTTTTTTTTTTTTTTTTGAGACAGAGTCTCACTCTGTCACTCAAGCTGGAGTGCAGTGGCACGAACTTGGCTCACTGTAACCTCCACCTCCTGGGCTCAAGCGATTCTCCTGCCTCCGCCACACGACACGTGCTGCAGCTCAATCTTTAGGGTAGGAAAACCTTGTCTCTACTAAATACAAAAAGCGTAGCTGGGCCCAGTGGTGCATGCCTGTATTCCCAGCTACTCGGAAGTGGCATCATGTTGCCCAGGATGGTTTCGAAACTCCTGAGCTCAGGCAATCTACCTGCCTTGGCCTCCCAAAGTGTTAGGATGACAGGCATGAGCCACTGCGCCAGGCCTCTTTCCTACCTTTTTACCTGGAGAATGGATAGCTCGGGGTCCCTGTAAAGTTGACATATTACTTCCTGCATGCATCTCTCTTGTACATCACCTGTTTGTGTTGTCCTGCCCTAAAGGTTGAGCAGCAGTGTGTGTCGTGTGGCCCACAGTGGAAGCTCTTCCCATTGGGAACACAGAGCTTAACTGAGACCATCAATGATCAGGCTCAGGAATCCAAATAGAGATGCAGGGAGGGAGGAAGGCACTTGCAGCATAAGAAGAAACTGAAAGGACACCAAAAGGAGGCAGGCAGAGGCCATGAGGCAGCAGGGGCCATGGACCCCAGGATTAGCAGAGGACACGAGTAGGCAGCAGTAGAGTGAGCAGAAATAGTCGGCAAGGATGGAGGCAGCCAGGGTAGCAGAAAGAACAGAGAAATGGAGCAAATGAATCACCATCATGGTGGAGGCCAGCTTGATTGCCACAGACTTGGGGTGACCAGATGCCCCCATCTCTAACATGCTCCTGAGTCCTGACTGCCTGTGCATTTTCCACGAAGTCCTGCCTTATGACTATTTGTGAGTTGCCATGTGATTTCTCTTCCCCTGCCACGTGGCCTCCTCTAAAAAGCTTACCCCAGCTCAGTGCCTTGTACATAGCAGGTATTTAAGAAATACTGTCATGAGAATGAATTAGTTGAGACAATCCGAGAAAAAAATTGTCTTTGCAAACAAAATTTCCGAATATACCATCTGCATTTTGGGGTGGCTATTTGGAGCTACTTCCTTGGGGACACGTAGAGCTCCTGTGTCCGTGTTTCACCCAACCCAGCAATATTATCCACTATTTGCTGAGCAAAGGCCCCATCTGAGATATCCTGAACTGACGCAGAGACCAGAAAAATCTCAGGCACAGATTGTCAGTGGGGGGGACTAGAAATTTAGAAATACAGTAGCTGGCACATGCAAACGGGTGGGAAATCACCTCTGACTTCTTTGTATCCAGCTGCAATTGGAAACCAAGAAGAAAAACAGAACAGGATGTGCCACAGGAAAGACGGGCAACCCTGAGAAACAGAAAGGACTTTAATTAGCTCTTGACTGCGCTAAATGTGCCAAAAAGTGAAAAGGAAGAGACTTGTTCTTTGGGTAGAACAAGATTAGTTCTTGTCTGATGTATTTAATGGGTCAATAGCCACTCAACAGAACAATCACTTCCACTCCTTTCCCTCTCACCTCAAGCCTTTAAAAATGTGCTTTGGCCAGGCGTGGTGACTCACAACTGTAATCTCAGCACTTTGGGAGGCTGAAATGGGCGGATCACTTAAACCCAGGAGTTCAAGACAAGCCTCGACAACATGGTGAGACCCTGTCCC